TGAGGAATCGTCGAGTTCGTCGGTGTCATTGGGATCAAGCTCGGCTGCACATGATTCATCAGATTGGACCGTTTTCATACCCTCACGTGTCACAAGATTGCCCCTGAAACATAAAGTAGGGGGTTCAGAAGGACAAACAGGGCTAAACAGTGTATTTTCATTTCTTTTGATTTTTTTTTTGACTTGTTTTCGAAATTCTTTTCAAAAAAGTTTTAACACGAGGAAGCATGAAGAAGCCCAGGCCTCAGAATTCTCCTTGGACTATATTTTTCTTTTATCGGTTGGATATCATCACCGGGCTGGTTTGATGTACCTCAACATGCCCTCAATATGAAAATAACTTGTAATTTCATTGATTATCACCAAATGAATTACATTTATTGAATGAAAATTGCGACAATTGAGTCCTGGAAACGAAAAATCCTAAAAAGCAGCTCCCGAGACGGGGCAAGTCCTAAAAAGCAGTAAAAATTCCCACACAGGGGAGTGTATGAAAAAGTAAAGATGTCACTCTTGAGGGCCAGTGCCCATTCCCGTCGACGGTCCTTCTTCGATAGCTCCAATAAAGAAATCATCGAACAAGGCAGTGATTCCCTCCATTGCATCATGAGGATCTTTAGTCAGTGGAGGTATCGGATCATCCATATCTCCCCATCCATCGGGGACAATATCTCGCGGGTCAATATAAAAGCTTGGGGGTGCCGAGTATTTTACATGATAGTCAAATTTGCCGCTCGGTCGCCCCAATGTGTCGATCACCTCTTACTTTTCATGCATCATCCTTGCAGGGCCTGGGAATGTAGTGCGAATGCGTGGAGGCATGTCCTCAAGTAGAGGGTCGACCTCGTCTTCTTCGGTGTTTAGCGCAGCAAACTCCCCTTCCCAATCAATGACCACTTCGGAGATTGTGGAGACGATGCCAGTGTGATTAGCATAGACGATCATCCCGGCTTCCACCATTCTGGAGATTCTTTCCGTCATGACAGTTAGGGGAGGCACTTTATCATTCGGGTAATAACCGGCTTTCACTAACTCACCGTAGACGTCGGTGGTGTACACCTTGACATTCTTGATTCGACCAGCATCAAAACTAAATATGGCATTCACATTGCCCGCATGATCAGGGAGCGGGTTATTCTGAACATTCGGCCTGGCAGGTTGGAATGAGAAAGCCTTCGTGTCCAGGAGGTTCTGGATTCTGTGCTTGAGGACATAGCAATCATCGATTGAGTGTCCCAGCTCACCCATGTGATAATCACATTTCTTTGACGGGTTGAAGTTATAGAACCGCTCAGGATTGGGCCGCTTTGGCTCAGTAGTAAGCAAGCCTTTCTTCTGAAGTACTGCTAATACTTGAGACAACGACCCGGGGAGGGAGGTGAATTGCCTCTTGTTGTTCCTCCTTTGAAAAGGTTGACGACCCGAGTTTTGTTTTGAGCTTCCGCTACTTGGATTCTTTGGGGCGGAGTTAGTATTCCGCCGGCTCGGTTGGTTATAAGCCACATTCACTTCATTGCCGGTTCTTTCTCTTTTCTCGCACCAAATCTTCTGGTCGAGGAGGACGGCTCGACAAACCATCCATCTTCCAGCCCTATCTCAATCTGTTCGCCTATGGGGATGAGTTGGTTGAAGTTGTTAGCCGGAATGGCAACCATCCGATTACGGTATTCGAACGGGAGAGTTTTTACGAACATCCTCTTCAACTCACTGTCTATGGGTTCTGGGACAACCTAAGCAGCTAAATTCCTCCATCTGATAGCATAGTCTTTGAATGACTCAGTCTTTTTCATCTGAGCACGTTTGAGATCATCACGGGTAGGAATGATGTCCGTTATGAATCTGTACTGCTTTAAGAATGCTTCACTGGCTTCTTTCCAAGTTTTGAGGCCATTTATCTTCTTCATGAGATACCAGTTCAAAGCAGGACCCGTCAAACTTGCTTGAAAGGCATGGATCATCAGGAGTTCGTTGTCAACATACGAAGTCATCTGTACGTGATAGAGCTGCAGGTGGGTTTTTGGACATGTGGTGCCATTGTACTTGTCAAAATCTGGCATTTTGAACTTCTTTGGGATTTTGATCTGTGAGTACAGGGACAGATCGATCGAAGGTGAATCCTGCGAACCTTCCAGCTGCTTCACTCTTTCTTCAAGCTTGTTGACTCGTTCGTCAGGTTTGTCTTTGTTGTCGATAATCTGGACGGGGTCATCTTCTAAATTAGGAATATCGTCATCTCCGTCAACATCGACACTTTTTCTAACTTTCTGCTTTGGGATTGATGTTTCGAGGGATGCCGGAACAGGGATCGACCGAAGAGCTTTGATCTCAGCGGACATTTGTTGCATCGCGATGACAAGTTGCTTCATCTGGTCTTCCATACCAACAACACGCTCTTGCAAGTCGGTTTGATCGGCCATTCTGCCTCTCGACCGTGTACGAATGGGCGATCGTGATCGGTCCGTAGTTACCTAATTTCGGAACGAAACAGGCATACATAAGTGCCAAGCAAAATCATACGCCGATCCATGACATTGGTCTAAACGCTTTGAATTGAAAAGACCCCTTTATTGAAATGGTGAAAATTTTTACACCAATTAATGACTTGAAATTGAACTGAATATAAAGACAAATGACTCAATTCCTAAACAAATTTAAAAACTGAAACTGAAATGAGAAAGGAACTTCGAGCTTATTATTTAGCTTGATCTATAGACATATGGGAGGCGACTTCCTTCTTCAATTGCTCATAAGCTCGAGCTATCTTGGCTGCCTTTTCTTTAGCTTCTTCGGCCTTCCTTTTGAGGCGATTGTTCTCTGAGCGATTGGCGGACTTGAGAGGCACCTTGGGTATCTTCGGGAGCAAATCTTGCGGGATTCTATGCCGTCGAATGTACTGGGTCGTCGCGAAATAGGACTTCTGCTCTCCCTTTAGTTCTCCTTCGGGCCGAGCTATCTTTAACACACGGCACTTCTTCCACATCTTATTGAGCTGAGCTACGGTCCCTTCGTGATCTTTATCATCATCGGCGAAGTCGACCCAGAGGAGTTCCGGTTGTAACGTCGGAGGGAGTCCCTGGAGAATTTGGTACTGTCGGGACACTCTGGTAGGGTAGTACTCGATTGCGCCAGTGAAGCCCAAAAGTGGCACCGGTCCAACACCATTACACGTAAGCCAAGCTTCCTCGATCTTGAACCAATTAGCATGCCAATGGAAACCTTGGGGTCTAGCGTTTTTCATGAAAATGATCCATTTGGAATAATGATAATCAGGTGCATTTCCTTGTTTTCCTTTATAGCTTAAAATGGGATGGCTAGAATCACTAAGCTCGGATATTGTGAGTAAATCGTCACATCCTTTTATGTGAGATAAAAACCAAATTTGCAAAAGTTCGAGGGGGGCATGAAACGTTTTGTCAACATGTTGCTTAAATTTAGTGAGTGAAATGAAAGTCTCGGCTAAAATGGTGTTGCCAAAATTCTTTTCAAGACAGACTTGTTGGACCAACCATGCGATTGACGGACTACATGCATTCTTACAGTGAGGAAAAATCACGAACCCGAAAAATGCTAACAAAAAGATTTTGCCCTTTTGAAAAGATGTGGCTTTTTCAAAACACTGACTCAGGAATGAAAAAGGACATGTGCCGCGATTTGCTTTTAAAACTTTTCCCAATTCATCTTTTCCAACATTCAAAAATTCAGCCAACATTAAAGTAGAATCAATTCCGAAAGGTGGTGTGACTAACTCCGACTCCAATGATTTTCCAATGAGCACGCTATATTCTTCCAATGTCGGGGTGAGCTCGTGCTTACCGAATATAAAGGTAGAGGTCTCGGGACACCAGAAGTGTGCTAATGCTTGAACGAGGCCGGTACGGACTTTGACTTCCAATAAGGGGAGTAGCCTTCCGATGTGGCCTTCAATCAGCTTATGGTTTGTTGGACTGAGTAGATTCCACCAGGCACGGAGCTCGTTCTTAGGAGCATCAAGAATCCGGATGTCTGCCCCTCCCATAGTATATAGACCAAGACTCACGACCGACCTAATGTCATGGACCGACCAAAGAAAATACGGAACATAAATAAATTGCGAAATAAAGGTTCAGAAAACTTACTTCACCCGATAGGACCATAGCAATCGCATAGACATGCGCATGAAATGTGAGGTTCGATTTCTATCTAGACTCTGGCTTGCAAAATGGAGACGCGAGGATTACCGGGCTAAACCAGTCATGGTTGTGGTTAGGCCGGGGTTCCCCTTACTCCGGCTTAGTCAAGGAGCCGACCCGGGTTGCAAAGGGTGCAACCGTGGTGGGAACTCAATGACACCGTGAAAGAACTTTCGGGACCAAGGAGGGCGACCCGTACCACGCGGGTGTGGTCGGGGTGTCCGCTGTCTCAGTACCATCCTAAACCTGTGCCGCCCAGGTCCGGCAGCGGGTAGTGTGTGCGGTGTAGTGTAAATGCAAGGCATGCACAACATGTTATATCAAACAGCGCTTCGTGCATAAAATAAACCATACATCCAAACACCTCCCTGCAAATCTACCACTAGCCTAATGTAAATATCCATCGCCAAGGCAATAATCATTGGTCAAGGGTTTTGGACAAAACTCATTTTTCCACCTACAGCGAGATCCCCTCGCCCCCTCCCCCCCTCTCTCTCTCTCATAAAGTTGACATTCCAATGTAATTTATGACATTGCTAGGCAAGTTACATGATTTCTTTTAGATGGGGAATATTTCAAAGTACTTCCATTGCAGAACTTTTCTCTTTGTGCTTATAAACGTGACCCAAATAATTTATTTTGATCCATAAGCGGATTCAAATGGATCTGGATATCGCCGTTTTTCCTAAATTGACAGTTGCGATTGCTCTCCCGAAATAAATTTAAACAAATCTCATTTCAAGAACCAGGAGTACCCCCAAACATGGGAAAATTTCAAATAAGGCCCTAAAGTGGATGAGTTTTCTCAAAAGAGGACCCGAAGTGAACGTCGTCTCAAATAAGGGTCCGAGGTGATCATTTCGTCTCAAATAAGGACCTCAAATCTTCCGGCGACACAACTAGGGGCATAATCGTCCAAAGATATTTCTTTTTTTATCTGTTCACTGTTCATCTTCTTCGTGCTTGCACTTTGAGGAAAGTTGCAGCTCTTGAGTTCACCTCCATCTTCTTCTTCAACAACAATGGCGTCCTCAAGCTCACCAACGAGGCGAGTCGCCTGATGGGCCACACTTTCTACTACTCCCGTTCCAGTTCAAAAACCCAAAGGGTGGCGACGTCTCCTCCTTCGTCTTCATTGCAGTCACCGAGCACTCGAATCTCGACGGCCATGGCCTCACCTTCACCGTCTCTGCTACCATGGACCTCTGAGCCCTGCCCAGCCAATATCTGGGCCTCCTCAATGCCAGCAACGTCAGTTCTTCAACTACCTCCTCGCTATCAAGCTCGACGCCGTCAGAACTTCAAGTTCTAGATCTGAATCTGAAGAGTGGGAAGGCGATTCAGGCATGGATTGATTACGAATCAGGATGACATCGGATCTCCCCGTACCTGATTCGATCCATTTTCTGCGTTCCCCTTGTTTTCCTTGCCTCCATAAGTGTTTGCCTTCCTTGGAGAACCAATCTGGTTCATGAACTTGAGTGGAGTCTTCGCGTCGATGCTCGCGAGACCTCGGAGCAGTCCCCGCGGCCTCGGGCTCGAAGTCTTCCGATTTTGGTTCGCCAGCGTCGAGGCCTTCCATGAGCTCCCACACATTGATGACTTAAGGGCTTCCTCGCCGCGAGCCGGCGACCTCCCTTCAATCTTCTGCTCTGTACGGTGATTTCTTGTTGCTGCGGGGGCGTCGGTGGCGAAGGCAACCCTCGCTCGTCGCTATCCAGCCTGAGCATGCCGTAAGTGCCGGAGGTGAGGGAGACCACATGGACAGGATGGGTCGTGTGGCCGCCATTGATGACCTGACCATGACCATGACGAGGATGATGCTCACGATCTTGCTCCCAGCATGAAGAAGATGAACAGTAAAAAAGGAAAAGAAAAAGAAACAAAAAAAAAAAGAAATGGCTTTGGACAAAAATACCCTTGCTCGTGCCACCAGAATTAGCACATGCTCGCCGATCGGCGAAGATTTGACCGGTCGGTAAGCTCAGACCCCTATTTGAGATCAAATGATCACTTCAGACCCCTATTTGAAACTCAATAACCACTTCAGACCCTTATTTGAGACAACGTTAACTTTGGGTCCTCTTTTGAGAAAACTCATCCACTTTGGGGCCTTATTTGAAATTTTGCCCCCCAAACATTTGCCAGCTCTTTTCAACTAGACCCAAATACTCTTGGTCTCGCTTCCCTAGAAGCGACTTTCTTCTTGATTTCCCATTTTAATTGACCAATAGTTGATCAATCACTCCCAAATATTCACCTTCTAAGCTCGATCAAAATCTATCAATTTCCATTGGACTTTCTTTCATGTTTTTGTCTTGTTCAAGACCTGAAGGAGAAGCCGCCCCTCTCCCCACGTCCTGCTCTTGGCTTGAAACTTGAAAGTTACAGGTCTTGGTCTCTGTCTTGGGAGTTTGTTCTATACATCAAGTCAATAATGTCATTGCTTAGATCATTATTGCATCACTACAAGCATCACCACACGTGACACACGGCGGGGTTGGGAAGGGTTTGAAAATACGAGAATTACCTTTGGTCGACGCATAGATAACTCACATGTATGTATATGCAGACCGCACACTCGCACATAACGGGATAGGGATCCTATCCATTCAGTGAGCGATTAGCATTTTTCAATTCATCACGGAAAAGATATCATCTTTTGAGGAGGGAAAAGTACCAAAAAACTCTTAAACCTATTTTATTAGTATCAATTCAGTCATAAACCTTTCAATTGTACTAATTTAGTCATAAATCTTTTCACATTGGTACCAATTTAGTCCATCCGGATAATTTAGGTTGGATATTGCTGACGTGAATAATTTTTTTTTATAATTTTCGAATTTTTATTAATTTTTTTCCCTTCTATTTTTTTTTCCATTTCTTCCTTTGGCTTGTGGCCGGTACTTGGCCATGGTTGGCGACCGGCCACAAGCAAAGGTCTCCCTCGCCACCTCGGTCCTCGCCAAATTCAATGAGGGTGCCCTTACCTGGGCGGCGAGGGTCAAGCCCTCGTCGGCCATGGCTGAGTGCCGGCCACAGGCTAAAGGAAGAAAGGAAAAAAAAAAAAAAGGAATCTTTTTTAAAAATTAATAAAATATTCGAAAATTTATTAAGAATAATAAAAAAGTGTCCACATTAGCGCCGACTGCACCACATAGGACAGCTGGCACCCACGTCAACAATTTTCTGCCTAAATTGACCGGATGAACTCAATTGGTACTAATGTGAAAAAGTTTAGGATTAAATTGGTCCAATTGAAATATTTATAATCGAATTGGTACCAATGCAATATGTTTAGGACTTTTTCGGTACTTTTCCCTCTTTTGAGGATGAAAAGCATACTATCTCACTATGCATCTAAATATATACATTTAGGCTCCGTTCGTTTGGCGGAAAATATTCTCCTTTTGGAAAATATTTTCCCGGAAGTCATTTTCCTGGAAAATGTTTTCTCAGAACATAATTTTCCGGTGTTCGACGACCAATATGAAAAAGTTTCGGAAAATATTTTTCGCCGGCAGCGGCGTCCGCGGCCGGCGACCGGCGATGACGTCCGGCGTCCGGCGGCGGCGCCCGGCGGCGGCGACCGGCGGCGGCGGCGGCAGCCGGCGACCTTAGTGAAAAAGAAGAATAAGAAGCTCCGGAAAATGATTTCCGCTTTTGAAGAAGCAGAAGTCATTTTCCATAGACTTAGGCTATTTTGTGAGGGGGGAAAGGAAAATATTTTCCCACGGAAAACGTTTTCCGCCCCCCGAACACCGGAAAACCCGGAAAATATTTTTCAGGAGAATATTTTCCGCCTAACGAACGGAGCCTTAGTTCTAAACCGCATGACGAGTATTTATTGGCCCACCAGCTCCTCAAAAATCGGTAGTTTTTAGATAATATATACATTTAGACCGAAGGATCTGCCCGAAAGTACTGGCTACTCGTACCCCGAAAGAGGCAACAATTTGAATCCTCTCGATGCCTCGGGTCAAATCATTTTTTCTCTCAAATTTCCTTAATTTTCCTTTTGACGAAAATTCGTCTCCAACACGAAATGCATACCGTGCGGGCCAAGGCGATAAGTCGATCATGTCACGTCTATCGCGTCTCTTTGATTATTGAGCAGCCAGGGCTTGTATCGAAATTTCCCAAGAAAATCCAACATGTTTCTTTCCACCTTTATTTTTCTAATTTTTTCTTTATTTCCCTTTTCCCACGGGGCATGCTCTGGTCAAGACTCGATATGAGTCAACGCTCTTCAGAGAAATGGCTATAAATGTCATACCCTAACTCAAATCAGTCCATCGCTTATATGCTCAAAATCAGAGTAATATCTGCAGGTCCATCGAGGAGCATCATCAGCAAACCAAGACTATGACAAAGGTAAGCAACATGGAATAACAAATAATATAATTATTTCGCAAGAAAATATTACTCTTATTGTATATTTGTATGTGTATATACACATATTATTATTATTGTTGTTGTTATTATTATTATGATTATTGTAAATATTATTATGATTGCAGAAAAAGGTGGTGGTCAAGGTGTCCATGAACGGTAGGAACCAGAAGTTCCCACTCTTCCCAAATTTTAGAAGGCAAGGTAATCGCCAGAAGGCCCTTCAAATTGCAACTGCCGTTCCTGGTAATATAAGCAATTTACTTTCAGGGCTGTCCACAAGAAAGATTCAAAAGAATTTCTTGAAAAGTAAATTTTAGTTCTACTACTTGTTAAAGAGTTGTGGATAGAAAGAAATTAATCGGGCTACAATAGTATATATTGAAACGGGTTCCATGAGAATGGGGTTAACCGGCCTGTGATTTGTTTGCTCCATGGATGCGCGTAGGGTTCCAATCGGTGATCCTTAAAGGAGCTGACCAAGACGTGATTGAAGTAACGGGGGAGGGAGTCGACGCGGTCGACCTCACCATTACGCTTCACAAGCGTGTGGGTTATGCGAATTTGGAGATGGTGAACGAAGTTAAAGAGGAGAAGAAGCCCGAGAAGGACGAGCAACCCAAGCCGGCGGAGCCGCCGGTTGTCTGGTCGTATCCGACGTACGTTGTGACAGAACCAACGGAACCCCAATCGGCTTGTTGCCCCGTCATGTAATGCGCCCTCCCTCTCGATCGATCTACGCCATGTGATATTTGGGAATGGTTTCCTGATCACCATTTTCTCTTTGCCTTATGTTTAAGCCTTTAGAAAATGGTAATTGTGTTTAGATTGGGCGATGAAATTTATAATGACTGATGTTACAAATTGAAAGTGACAGTTACGCTATGCATGTGGGTCAAATTTCAACACGCAATTAGAATATCCTAGAACACGATGACTAAAAACCTAACTGCCTAATGAGAAAAAAGAAAACTAAATTTATCAGCAAAACAAAAGAGAGGAATGCTAGAAATATCAAGACGGACATATTAATTGTGTTTATTAAATGATGTGCCAAACAATAAGCGGCCATTAATCAGATAATCCGCATTCATTTTGTGAAAGAGACATTCGAGAGCGACGCTTCTTTCGGTATTCGAAGCTTTGATTATATGGCATCTTTGTAACTCGCATTAACTGTACTGTGACTCTCTTGATCTGCAAATATTTTGTTTAGGCCATCGAAAATTCATGTTTTATAAAGGTGCCGCGCTCCAAATCCAGAGCCTTTTTAGTACGCTCCAGAATTCATGTTGACGCGACACTGATCCAACGCCACTTTTTCGGATTTTGGCCATATCAACGCGGTCGCGTCATCAATTGGACGGCGTGGGCAACGACATTTGACAAGAGACCTTAGGTGATGAGACTAATTAGGGGACCCGGTTGCACAGCAAAACAGTCAGACGATCAAGCCGCACAAAAATCTAAAGTTAAAGGACCAAAGATATACTTAACCCCATTTTCATTGGAAACCTAGTCAAAACATTTGGGATCCATCGGATGAAAGTAGCATAAGTACATCTTTTCAGCTTAAACACCGGGAAGTCCATGCAGCATGAAACCCATTTCTGCAATCAAGCTCTTTCTGGATCGGGCTTGGATTGATGGAGCACTTTTGATTCCACAGCATGGTTGCAATCTGGAGTCACCTTGGGGCAATTGTCTCTCCTTCCATCAATATTTCGAAGTCACCCCTAAGAATGTCCTCAAAAGATTTTAGAGGTTCCGAGATACGACGTTCCCATCTAACCAAAGCAATCACTAATCGATGAACCTATTTTCGTACCACTTTCCCGATTCTTCCTAATTGCCCGACTCCGAAAGAAGGCATTTCTTTTCTTTCTTGTGATCGCCTTCGTCATCTTCTTTGCTAATGAATCTTTAAAAAAGTGCCAACTCAAAGAAAAAAGTTAAATTATTAGATAAAAGTGGGAGCATCAACACATTTGTACAATCCATCTCACAACTAGCTAATAAAAAACTCATTGAAATCCCGTATTTTCAAGCAACGTTGGGCTTTTACTACAACTTTGGAAAAATTATAAAAAATACCCGAAACCTATTACGGTTGTGCCAATTTAGCTCTAAACTTTTTTTTTCGCCAATTGAGTACTAAACCTTTTTGCATTTGTACCAATCGGTCCATTTGGCCAATTTTGATTGGAAATCGTTATCATAGACGCTGGGCGTTATATGTGTTGCGAGCAACGTTGACATAAAACGATTTTTAATATTTATTTTTTTTCTTTTCTCTCTCTCTCTCTCTTTTTCCTTCCCCTCTTCCTCTGGCCAGTCGCCGAGCAAAAAGAGAAATAAAAGAAAAAAAAGAAAAAAAAAGGAAAAAAAATTCAAAAAAAATTAAAATATTATTAAAAACTGTTCATAGCAATGCTAGTTGCGACACATAGGATGGCTAACGTCCATATCGGCGATTTTCAACCAAGAATTGGCACAAATACAAAAGGTATATGACTTAATTGACAAAAAAAGAAAATTGATGACTGAATTGAAACAGTTACAATATAACCGAGACTTTTTTGGGATATCTCCGTGCAGCTTTTGTTACATACCATCCATGAATTACATGCTACCCTGGAAAACTTACACTGAGAGAGGGCAAAATGACATTTGTAGCCATAAAATGTACCCTCATGCCTCTTTTTTTTTGGCCATTGGAATATTTCAACTATGGTGCCGATATGGATTATCTGCAACTTTAATGTGAACTAGAAAGGTCAAATGAAAAGGTTCCCCAGTCCCCACTTACCCCAGTTCCTCTTGCATCCCAACCTTGATCAAATCAAATCTATTTAATTTTTTTTATCCACCCAATAAGAAAAAAATATCCACACAGTTTGACAGTATCCTCTGCATTCACGTTAAAAAAATAGTAATACAGCTGACCTCGCTTGAAGAAGGGTCCATAGGACCATAACTCTATATCCTCACTGCCACTTTCCTGAAGTTCCTTCAACAAGACAAGAAGCCATCTCATTTAGTATTTTATAGGGAACATGGAGATGCGGCATCTCGAGAATAGGTCCTAAAGTCGGGAGAAGTATTTCGATACGCTACGAGACAATATGGTCTAACCAGCCAATCATCGATGCTTGCCTGCGATGAATCCCATCTCGCATCCCTCTATGCCTCTCCGCATCTCGTTTTTCAGAGACAGTTTATACCACACAAGATGTTGTCCTTGCATAGTAAATGAGGAAATAAAATATCCCAAGTTGGGGCTTGTCTGGGGAAGTTTATTAGGGTTTCTTTTTTATCATCTTGTCCTCAACCCCTTTTCGTCTCCACCATAGAGAATTGAAACCCTTTCTTTTGGCTGGGCTTTGGGGAGTGGACCCACTCCCCTCTGCAAACCTTATAAAGAGGACACACCCATCTTTGCTTCTTGTCTACTGTTCCTGCAAGGGGGTGATGCAAGTGCCTCATCAAAAGCAGTTGCCATGAGCCTCTCCGTTCACCTTCTCGTGCTCTTCCTTCTCGCGTTGACACAGCAACAGACACCCACTTTTGCTGCCAAAAAGGTGAGTACTCAAAGCTTAAGCCGTCGCACTGTTCCATTAACAGTGGAATCTCTCCATTTTTTGTCTTACTTTGAAAAGGGTCGTATCTTAACTGATATCATCATCATCATCATCATCTTGAATCTTTCCTTTTCGTTTTGTGAATCTGGACGTGTGTGGGATCGAAGCCGTACGTAGTTTACTTGGGATCCCACTTGCACGGCCGGGATGCTTCATTGGCTGATCTGAGTCGGGTGACAGAGTCTCACCATGAGTTTCTTGGCTCTTTCTTGGGAAGGTATTGCATTTCAATGCAGATAAAGTACAACACCACAACTTCTTCTTCTTCTTATCGGTTTACAGTATGCACTGAGGACTATGTTTTGTATAGCCGAGACGATGCCGAGGAGGCCATCTTCTATTCGTACACGAGGCACATCAACGGCTTCGCCGCGACTCTTGAAGATGACGTAGCTGCCATAATTGCCCGTAAGCTCGCACCCTTTTTTATCGCCTCGGTTTGGAGTTTGACCACCAAAACCAACAGTCCTTTGTTTAGCTTCTGTCATAAACTTGGAGCGCAACTTGCATTTCTTGATGACAAGTCGCACAACCCCTGGTTACTACAATTCTTGTTGCTCCATTCTATGCATTGCTTCTAGCGCAAAACCTCCAAATAATTAACAAAAGAGCAATGTCTCCACACCTCTACGAAACTTTGAGAAAGAGTGCTGCAGTAGACGATGCGATGAGGCGTATATCATGTGTATTCGATTAAAAATCCAAACTTATCCCGTCGCGTCACTAAATAAATCAACATTGATTGCTCGAATTTTGTTTTTCTGCCAAGGGGGCACTTGCTTTTTTTTTTTCATCTTTAATGCTTATTGTTGGTTTTCTAATCTTGGCAGAGCACCCAAGAGTGGTGTCGGTTTTTCCGAACAAGGGCAAGAAACTCCACACAACAAGATCGTGGGAGTTTCTAGGTCTCGAGCAAAACGGCGTGATTTCTTCCGATTCAATTTGGAAGAAGGCTCGATTCGGTGAAGATACCATCATTGGGAACCTTGACACAGGCAAGCGGCTTCCACCCACTATTTATTTACTTAACATTATGTTTTTCTCTGACAAAAATAATATAAAGAGTGCCCCAAAACCCACGAACGTTGACTTACAATACAACCGGAGCGAGGCTGTCTTGTCATCTATCTGCGATAAAGAAATGCCAATGTTTCATGATCTCCGGCTTGCATTGACTCCATGTTCGGTTCTTGCTTTGGCCCACGCATGTTCTCTTCACTTTTAACACGGATCATCGTTTCGTCGTGTCTCAATCTGTATCACAGCTGCAACTGTCGATACCCATCAAATGATTTTAAAAACTATCGAATTTGCGTCGTTTGCTCGTCGTCCAACGCACGTAATACAGGTTGAGGCATAATGTAAGAGGGTAGATAATAAAGAAATGGGTAGCGGGTTGAGCACGCTCCAATGTAAACAGATCAAAAATTGTCTTCGACCCATGTGGAAAACTTTATATTATTGAAAATTGTTGGATGTTGTCTTTTGCTTGCTAACTAGAGAAGGAGCACACTCTGTGCAGCTGCATGATCGAAATTATATTAAAACTCCATGCAAAATGGAAAAATAATAACGAAAATTTGTGGAGGAGTTTGCTCTAGAGATGCTTGTTATCTACATACTCTCTATCCTCTTCTTATGGATCTCATTGCGAATGCGTGACAAATGGTTATCCACGTATATGTGATACATGTGATTAGACATTAGAGATGCACATTTGAGAGGGTCAAATCTCGAACACAGTCAAAGGTACTAGAAGGGAGATACATCAAGTCATAAGACTAGTCTAATTTGGAAGGAGATAAAAAAAAAAAAATCAGTCAGCACATTATTAGACCGTTTGTTTTAATTTGAGAAAAAGAGTGTCTTTTGCTCTCGGTCAAAGATTTAAAGCGAAAAGAAGTATTTTAATGTTTGAGAAAAATATGGAAAAATATTAGCTCTACATGTCACAATTCGAATGTTCTTTCAAAAGTTTTTTTTGATATTCCACATTTTATGAAAGTCAAATTACAAAAGCTACATCTAAAGATAATTAATTTCTAACAACAAAGAGTAAAATTCAATTCAAACACATCTTTGTGCGTTTGGTGAACCATATGCCTAAAACTCCTGACGTGTGCTATGTTAGGGATTGAGATGAGCCTAAATTGACATGTTAGTGGTCTCGGCCATCACGCGTGCTCCCTCTACTTTCCATCATAGAGGGATGGAGAGAGACAGAGTGATAGGTAGCGAAAGGAGGCTGGTTAGTACAGCCGGCTGCTGAAGCTAGTGGCATTGGTTCGGTGCGTGGGGGCGAGATTAGGTTTAGGTATAGCTTTCTTGGGGTAAGAATTCTTTGAATCTGGGGCCATTTCGGTATCTGAGGTAACTAGTTATCCCCTCAAGTTGTAGTGGATTCCCATCCTTAGGCTACAAGATTGTTCGGTATAGTTTTTCCACAACGAAACGGTATAGTTTCGAAAGTGTTTGGTTAATGACTTATAATTGCGACAGACAACTCTCAGAAGCTCTCTCTCTTTCTCTCTCATGAAAATTACACCATTAGCAAAGTTGATCCTGTGGACCAAAGGAAAGGGTCAATGATCATCCAGTCATGCGATGAGCTGTGCTCACTTCAGGAGTTAGAATTTGGTACTTTGCAAGAGCTTCTATCCGTGGGCCAAGACCACAGAATACACGAGAATGATCCCTCCCCCCTCACCCCATCTCCCCCACAAAAGCTGCCCCCATACAAAACCTTCTATTGGGGGGAGTAGGTGAAGCACACCCTCATGATGAAAACGCTCCAAAAAACCCACTCTCCACGGGGGGCTGAATTCCCTTTGCTGCTACGCTATTGCTGCTGTGCTGGGCCAAAGAATTGACAAGCCTTGGTGCAGCATGGAAAGAATGTGTAATTGATTAGGGTGTTTTGGCGCATGCAGGGGCGTGGCCAGAGTCGGAGAGCTTTAGCGACCAAGGGTTGGGACCGATTCCTCCAAAGTGGAAAGGAATCTGTCAAAACGACAAGGATCCTAGCTTTCGCTGCAACAGGTTATGCTCTTTGCTTTGCTCTAACTCTCCCACTTTCTTATCCTCCCTCACCCGACCCCAAAAGGAAAAAACAGAAGACAAAGAAAGTTGAAATTTCAAAACGTTGACTTTTCTCCCACCCACCTACTTTCGAGATGAAGATATGCTTGCTTACTTTTCTTTCCAAATATATATCTTTTGGTACTGTGTGGAATGTGGAAAGTGTCCGAAGTCTTTTATGCATTTCTTCTTTTTAGGTCAGTTTCTTCATTATAGATTTGGCCATGCTACGAACTATTTTAACTTACACGATACAACGCATGCGATACGATTGAAGAAGGGAATAAGACATACGTAGTTCTTAAACTTTGGTCAAATTTGTAATATCATTTTTCAACTTTTAATATATTCGATATGGTCTTTGAATTATTATTGGGTAATTAATCAATCATATTCACAAATTTATATAATTACTTTATTACCCAGTTTTTAGAATATTCTTTCATTTCAATATGTTCCCCAAATCAACAAACAAATATTGAATCTTCAATTACTTTTTTTTCCCTTTTTGGTATATGTATATTTTAGTGAATATTTTAACTTATGATCTATATAATGATAAAAAGTAAAACTTTGTTTAAAGTCGTATTGGCTTGCCAACTATCAGCCGCGACTTTCGCCGCGCGATGCCGCTTGACCACCCCCCTCCCTCCCTCCCTCCGCCCCCATCATTGGCCACTTCGCGGGCCCTCCAAACCTCGATCCCTCTCTCGATCTTGCTTTGCCTCCACATTCGGCCTAATTGCAGAGTCGGATCAGGGTTCATAATGCCATATCCGGTGTTACCAAGCCCGAACCCTACCTTGTCGGGCTCGGGTAACATCCTTGGTGGCACGACCCTTTACCCTTCCTCAGGAAAATCAAGATTTCATTTGGGTGTGTATGATCTATTGCGTAAATTTTTCAAACGATGAAGTTACTTATTATCTCGAATTACCTCCTAATTTAAGAGGATTTCAATCCACGTAATTATGTCGGAGCTATATAGCAATTTAACATAAAAAAAAATACATTCCAATTCAATTAAACATATCCCTTTTTTAAAAAAAATGATTTCACATACGGAAACTCTTTTTTACTCCCTTCATTATTTCTCCTAAGAATTGACGTAACTAGCTTCATCTCCACCTTCATTGTCATCATGGTTGTTCTTGTTCCAATTCTCGTCTTCCTTCACAAAACGGACAAATCTCATTTTGCTCCGCTAAATTCGCTTTGACCAGTTCTTGGGTCCGAACAATTTTTTTTCTGTTCTTTTCCCACTTTTGTTTTTGTCTGAAAAATCAAATTTAGGTAGAAGTAATCAAAAACCCATAATTGTTGACTTTTATTTCCTTTGACCTTTTTTTCGCACACCAACATGTGTAAATTCACATTCAAAGCTAGATAGCTTCAACTACTCTCGATATAACTAGTGGACAATATGGTTCGGCGAAATAAGAAGAATTCTAGATGGTAGCTCCTGCTTTTTCTCATTTATAACTTACTTTTGGGTTCCGTTTATTTCACGAAAAATAAACGATTAAATAATATTTTTTTAAAAATGATCATTTATGTCGATTAACATAATTAATCAATGAAAAAAAAGTTTTCATTATTGACAACAATATATGTCTACACATTTTCATGTACGAAGAGAATATTTTTCGTCCAGTCATATTTTTAAGTAATTATTTTTAGAAAAATAATTTTCAAATCATTTATTTTTTGCGAAACAAACGGGAGTTAACGAAATTATTTTTTATGACACAACACGGGTGACAAAATGTAATCGGGACGATACCATTCAGACTCCGACACCTAAGACCGAAATTTGTACGTGAAGAGTAGGGATCGCTCTCGACATTTTAGCTTTTCATCGTTTTTCTTCGATCAGCGAAATCGGAAAATTGTAAATAAAACAATTTTCTTTTTCTAAAATCTCCTTCTCACACATTCATTTAGCAATCCCTTTTTTTTCTTTTTGTGTTTTTATCTTTTCTTTTCTTTTCTTTTTATTTGTACACATTTCCTTTTCCTCTATTAAAAACTTAGAAAAAAAAACTGGAAATAGATTTTGGAAAAAAAAAAAGAAAAAGCAAAAGAAATTAACTCCCGCCGGCGGGAACATCGGCCCGCAGGAAGCTGATCGGCGCCAGATACTATAACCAAGGCTACGCCGCCGCGGTGGGACCCCTCAATGCCTCCTTCGACACCCCCCGCGACCAGGAGGGCCACGGGTCCCACACCCTCTCCACCGCCGGCGGCGGCTTCGTCGCCGGCGCCAGCGTCTTCGGCTACGGCCTCGGCACCGCCAAGGGCGGCTCCCCGAGGGCCCGGGTCGCCGCCTACAAGGTCTGCTGGCCGCCGGTCGCCGGCAACGAGTGCTTCGACGCGGACATCCTGGCCGCCTTCGACGCGGCCATACACGACGGCGTGGACGTCCTCTCCGTCTCCCTCGGCGGCGACCCCACCCCGCTGTTCAACGACAGCATCGCGATCGGCTCCTTCCACGCCGTGAAGAACGGCATCGCCGTGATCTGCTCGGCGGGGAATTCCGGGCCCGACGACGGCACGGTCTCGAACATCTCGCCTTGGCTGATCACCGTGGCGGCTAGCACCATGGACCGGGATTTCTCCAACTACGTGGTGATCGGCAATCAGAGGCGATTCAAGGTCAGACTCTCGCTCGCTTCAATTGGTGAAGCTGTTCTTAGGGTTTGGCATGCATTACCAATTTGAAAAACTATACGAGTACAACGCAATTCAAATGATGAATGTCCGCAAGAATGATTAGCATAGAACCGCTAATTCTGTAAAAATGTCTCCTTTTGCTTTCTCTTTCTGCCCTGAAGGGTGCAAGCTTGTCGCCGGATTCCTTGCCCGGAAGCAAGTTCTACAAGCTGATCAGCGCAGCAGATGCAAGATTGCCCAATGTGTCGGTCCTCGAAGCGTAAGGATCACAACCATTTTCCGCGATATTGATATCTTGCAATTACTGTTTGCAGCTGAGCCCGTGGATTTGCCTCTTTTGCTTAGCTCGATAAATACTCTGTTGCTAACTGTGATGTGTTTATGGTTGCATAACACAGGCTACTCTGCAAGAATGGAACGCTTGATCCGAGAAAGGTGAAGGGGAATATCGTGGTTTGCCTTCGAGGAGATAACGCGAGGGTCGACAAGGGAGAGCAGGCCTTCCTGGCCGGCGCGGTCGGGATGGTCCTTGCCAACGATATTCTCTCGGGTAACGAAATCATCCCGGACCCACATGTCCTTCCCGCATCTCACATCAACTACACCGACGGGTCTGCCATCTTTAGTTACATCAAATTGACTAAGTAAGTGCACACAGGCTCCCTTTTCCTCCCTAATGACAGATTCTGCTGCGAAGCAATGTCGTTCTTGGTCCAGCTCATGAGGCCGGCGTAAATTGTGTCCGCATAATTTCACGTGTTTGTGCAACCTTTCATTGCGTCAGGTTTCCCATTGCTGAGATCACACGTGTAGTGACAATTATGGGCGTGAAGCCATCTCCATTCATGGCGGCCTTTTCCTCTAAGGGGCCGAACACCATCACACCTGAAATTCTAAAGGTACTCTGAAGGTTTTTCGCTGATTTAGTCACACCGCTTTTGTAATGATAGCTAGTTGAGTTACTGAAATGATTATGACCAGCCGGATATTACTGCACCTGGAGTCAGTGTCATAGCTGCCTACACTGAAGCAGTGGGGCCGACAAATGAGGATTTCGATAAACGCCGGATTCCTTTTAATGCGGTGTCGGGCACCTCGATGTCGTGTCCTCATGTTTCTGGCGTAGCTGGTCTTCTGAAAACTCTACATCCAGAATGGAGTCCTGCTGCAATTCGATCGGCAATCATGACGAGTGGTGAGTATGGATGAATGATATACTTTGACTACATTATGAGCTCAACTGTTATGTCTGATAGGCACACTGAATCTTAGGGGAGTGAAAATGACAAACCCGCCTCTCTTGCAATCTCCACTGAAAACAGTGCAAACCGAACCTGTACATAATATGGTCATGACTAACTAGCCTGGTTTTTGATAGGTGTTTCCAAGATGCGTAACGTTTTGATAGATCTTTGCCCCCCTTCTGTTTGTTTGCAGCAACGATACAAGATAATGCAATGGAACCGATCATCAATGCCTCCTACTACAAGGCGACTCCTTTCAGTTACGGAGCTGGACACATCCAACCCAACCGTGCTATGGACCCTGGCCTGGTTTATGATCTGGGAATTAAAGATTATCTCAACTTCTTGTGTTCTCTAGGTTACAATGCAACTCAGATCTCAATGTTCTCTGCCGGTGCCTATAATTGTTCGAAACGCATTAGTCTTCTAGACTTCAACTATCCTTCGATCACGATTCCTAAGCTCTCAAGATCAATTATGGTGACTCGAACTGTGAAGAATGTTGGCTTGCCAGGGACCTACAAGGCGTCGATTCTGCAACCAAATGGAGTTTCGGTTGTTGTCAAGCCTGCCTACCTGACGTTCAAAAAGAAGAACGAAGAGAAGTCTTTCAAGGTCGTGCTGAAGGCGAACGGAGCCAATGCGACGAAGGACTACTCGTTCGGAGAGCTGATATGGTCGGACACTGAGCATCATGTGAGGAGTTCTATTGTTGTGAAGGCCATCTCATGACTGTTATTATAGTGCCGAAGAATGGCCTTCTTATTAAATTGATGTCGATCCTATTCTTGAATGATGCTTCATGAATTTAAAATAATGGTTTGCAAATTATAAGGTGTTGAAATTTATAAATCTGGAAACTAGGTTTAAGATTATTATTTTTATTCATCTAAAAGCTAATCGGTCTTTACAACGAGAGCATTGTGCATTCTAATCACGAAAGCATGCTTCACATCTGCAAAAGAACTCGGTTCTCTTTCTTCTTCATCTGTTGGTCGAGCGTCCTGCTATTCCTTCTCTTCATCCATTGTTTGGAAAACTGAAGTTTCAGAAGGTTATTCCTATGCCTGGACGACTAATTGGACAGTCAGTTCAAAGAAGACTTAATGGACTGAGATAAATCATTATCTCTTAACAAAGCATCCCCTTTGATTGTCATCTGATGTAGATATGACTGCCGAAATATGTGAAATAGATGAGAACACATCGTTTTAATTCATTAAGAGTTGGCATATGCTTCTTGTCCCGCTTTCGACAGTGCAGCATGACAAAGGCATCATATGATACAATAAACACGTAGTGCCCGACCAAGACAGACTTGGTTTTTCCTAATGCAAGGGTTTCAAGCAGAGAATAAAATATGGATAAGCGATTCTTAATTAAATATGTATAGATTAGAAGAGAACATTAATGAAGTAGAAGGAAATGAGGGAACCGATGCTACCGGTCGTAGTAGGGCCGCTATAGCCACTGAGTGAGTAACCGACATTAACTGCGAAGCAGGGAGGCTATGCAGTACATGAATACATAGATCAAAGCCCGCGCTGGAAGCATAGAAAGACTTCCACCACCACTTCCAATCCTCTGCTTAAAGGTTGCAATACATAAAGAACAATCACGGTGTCACTCGAACTATAAAAAATGTTGGCTCTCCAGGGAGCTACAGAGCATCGATTCTACATACGAATGAAGTTTCACTGTTTCAGTTCTTGTCCACCTGAAGGTTAAGAAGATTGGTGAAGAGAAGTCTTTCAAGGTCATGCAAGCAGTCCTATGGTTGAGAAGGGCATTCCAGGGCTGTTCCTGCAGTTTCTGGAGGATGGCTTTCTTGTTAAAAATGATGCTGAGCTTATTTATAAATGGTGTGCTACATGGATTTAACAAATACTCAGTTTCTGAATTACTGAACTATAAGGTTTGTCGAGAGACTTGGTTCAGCATTATTTGCTTATTCATCTAAACATTAATAGGTTGTTATTGTTAACACAAAGATATTTCGAGGAAGAAAACAATATTCCTCACTTTTCTGTATATCTTCTTTATTCGTTTATAATGACCTACAGGCGTATATATATACAAAGAAAAGAAAGAATCTTAAAAAATATATCCTCTAAACTAGCTAACTATAATCCTTGATTCTAGCTAATTACAATCATAAATATATTTTACAGCTCATTCTCACAGTTATTAGGAAGGTATGTGCGGTCCTGAGTTGCTCGCACGTGCTATCTATCTGCTAGATATCCCGCAGTGCCCATCATCGTCCACCTCTCCTTCTAGCGTTACCCTCCAATTTATCTCATAGCTTGTTTGGATGTTAAGTTTGACTTCTGATGATTGTTAACAATAAAGCTTGGTACTTAACTGTCAGATGATACAGAAATATCAGTGGAAATGTGGGCAATAGATGGGAATGCGTTACTTTGAAACATTAATAGCATGACAGCTATCCTCGTGCTTCTTTCGACAGCTAAACATCATAAAGGCAAGGCGATACATAATAAAGTAAACCATATCTGTACTCGATTCAGGCGACTTCAGTTTTCCCAATGAAAGGATCTCAAGCAGAGGATGAAATTCAGAAAAAGGTGACTCTACTCAGATCTCTGTTGATGAGAAGAGAACATTCACAAAGTAGAACGAAGTGAGGAAACCGATGCTACCTTTTGAAAGCAGGGCTGCTATTGCCAAGATGAGCGAGTAACCAACATAAACTGTGACAGATGGGGGCCCGCTCAAACCGTTCAGGTCAAGAACCAAGTAATTGATGCAGTAAATGAACACATAGATGTAAGCCGAACCAGAAGCACAGAAAGACTTCCACCACCATTTCCAGTCCTCGGCTTGTAGATTGCGATAAGTAATGATCAAGGAAGTTTCAGCACAGAGGATAAAAAGGGACAGAAGACAAAGGCAGAGGGTCCCTGGCACGCTATATAACCTACCAAAGCATATGCTAGTCAGAAAGAAGAAGAGTTCAATAAAGAGTGTGCTGAACGGGAATGGTCTTTGGCAGTTTGAAGAGAAGTGGATCAGTTTGGTCGTTCTTTGGCAGTAAATGATTGAGGTTTATAACAGACAATAGTCTCATAGAGCTCGTGTTCTTTTGCATGCCGAAATTGACTCGCTGCAGGAATTTCTTCGCGAGTGCTACTCATCAAAGCGAAACTAAGATCGACTCAATCAGGAATACTATGAAAGGGAAGATTATGAGGCAGAAGAAATCTAAATCCATCAAGAAGAAGCATAATGGAGGTAGATGACACCATAAGCAAACTGGCGAATGACAATAATGAAGGGAAATTGCTCATATGGTAGCGATAAGTACATTACATAAAACGACATGCAGAGCAAATAGAAATGCCACCCCTTTCCCTCCTAATTATCTTTGTGATGATTAATCTAACACGGTCATTTTATCTTCTTTCGTTGCTTTGCATGAAGGAGACGAAATGAGCAAAGATCTACATCAAAACTCATTGAATGAATTTCTGGGAAGACTCGGTTTTATGTCTGGACGGATAGGTGTTGCCCGCAACCAGAAACAATGTGCCGAGCCAACGTTTATGACACCAGTTTTCTCATAGTTGATATCGATACTGATTGATGCACAAGAAGCATATTTATGTAGTTCATAGGGAGCTTTCATTGCTCTTGTATCTATTGAATGGCAGAGTTGAAAAAGAATGAATATGAAATGAAATGGGAGACATTAGGCGCAGATTCTCAATCCGCTCGGCATAAGGGACTTGGGCTAGGGAAAAGAGATTAGCTGGGTAGGATAAATGGCAAGGGCGATGATATCTCATGGTCTTTTAACAGCCCCTAGAGATTTTAACGACCCGTTAGTCTTCTTGACTTGAACTGTCTTTTGATCACGAACCATGTGCCGTTGGGATCAATCACGGTGTGACTAGAATTACAAAGAATGTTGGTTATCCGGGGAGCTATGGAGCATCAATTCTACAACCGAAGGAAGTCGCACTGTTTCAGTTCTTGTCTACCTGAAGGTTAAGAAGATTGGCGAAGAGAAGTCTTTCAAGACCATGCAAGGAGTCCCAGGGCTGTTCCTCTAGTTTTTAGAGGATGGCCTTCTTGGTAAAATTGATGCTGAGCCTATTTATGAATGGTGCTTCATCGATTTGACAAATATTCTTTGCTGAACTACTGCATTATAAGCCTTGTTGAGAGACTTAATTGAGCATTATTTGCCTATTCATCTAAACATTAATAGGTTATTACTAGAAACGCAAGTGAGAGTAACGCAAGTGCGCACCTAAGTTGCTCGCACTTGCTATCTATCTGCTAAATATCCGATGGTGCCCATCATCGTCCACCTCTCCTTCTAGTGATACCCTCCAACTTATCTCATAGCTTGTTTGAACATAAAGCTCTATACTTGATTGTCAGATGATACAGAAATGACAGTGGAAATGTGTGCCATAGATGGGAGTCTATTTATGACATTGATAGCTATTTATGACAATCTCGTGCTTATTTCGACAGTGAAACATGACACTAAAGTAAAACATTCCTGTGCTCGATCGAGGCAACTTCAGTCTTCCGAATGCAAGGAGCTCAAGCAGATGATGAAATTCAGAAAAAAGTTTGACTCCACTCAGATCTCTGTTGATGAGAAGAGACCATTCACAAAGTAGAATGAAGCAAGGAAACCGATGCTACCAGTTGATAGCAGGGCTGCTATTGCCATGATGAGCGAGCAACCAACATAAACTGTGACAGATGGGGGCCCGCTCAAACCGTTCAGATCAAAAACCAAGTAATTGATGCTGTACATGAACACAAAGACGGAAACCGAACCCGAAGCACAAAAAGATTTCCACCACCATTTCCAGTCCTCGGCTTGTAGATTGCGATATGTAATGATCAAGGATGTTTCAGCACAGAGAATAGCGAGGGACAGAAGACAAAGGCAGAGGGTCCCTGACATGGTGTAGAACCTACCGAGCCATAAGCTACTCAGAAAGAAGAAGAGTTCAATAAAGAGCGTGACGAACAGGATCATCCCAGCACTAAGAACTAAGAGCCACGAGGGAAGTGTCCAAGCCGGGATTTCCCTAGGAATGTGATTGGTTTTCACAGGATATTGGATAGCCTCCGCCCAGGTCGCTAGGAGTCCTCCCAAGAGGGTGACTGGTGATGAAATGCAGAACCAGAGCAACAAAACTCTGACATACATGGAGATGGAAACAGCTGCTGTGCTACGGTTGACCCACATTATGAGGTTGAGCGCCATGTGTACGATTAGGACGATTCCTGGAAAGAGAAATGTGATTGACCACAAAACTGACTTCCAACCATCAGTACTTCCTTTCAGCATTCTCCACAGACGCACGCCAACGTACCCACCAACGATTCCTGAAAAAGAGTAGACAGTTACTATCCACGTCAGTATCATTCCTCGAGCATTGGGCTGTACAAAGCCGAAGGCTGCGATGGTTACGGTCACAAATCCGGTCAGACTGATTTGGACCCCAGTTCCAACCATCACACTGAGAAGTCTAGAGTGAATCGGCTCTCTGAATGCATCGCCAGCGAGAAGCTTCCAACCGGAAGGCTCCTCATCGGTCTGTGCTTCGGCCTGCTTATCGAGTCCCCGGCGTTTTGTGAGTTCCCTAGATATTGTCTTCAGGAATATCACAAAGACAATACCAGTTAAGAGAAGGATGGATATCAGAGATTTGAATGTCGAGAACCAACGTACTCGGGAATCTCTCTGCTTTGAATAAATGTCCCAACGAGATTGCCAGCAGATATCGCTCTTCACGAACTGAACCTCATAAGTGAAGGCTATTCTCTCGTTCTCCCTCACTACCTGAAATGTCACGAGCTCACGGGGGCATTCCATGAAATCTATGTTGTCGTACATTTTGAGCCTTTTCATGTTTTCCTGGTGGTGTTTGACACTGCAAGGAACCACCGTGAAGCCCACAATCTCGAACAGCGGCGCCGGTTCATAACCCTTAGAGACCGTGCTATTCGATGGCGTGTCAAAATCCGTTATGTCGTAACTGTGGCCTCTGTGCTCGTTCACCAAGACTGTGAACTTGAGATGATTAATGATGTAAACGTCATCGCTGTTCGGCGGTACATACCCTATTGGGAAGCCGGTCCATTGAATTTTATACCCACCAAAGCTGGCATACCTTAATACCGGCAAACCATCGAGCATCATGTTCACTTGGTACAAATCGCGAATCCGTTGCTTCAGGAGCCTAGCCTCGTGCTCGGTTAGGGGATCAGTGGTGCAGAGGTAGACGGACTCGTTGACATTCCCTCGGAACCGGTACGGAGAGTTGACGATTTGGTCTCCCATGAGAGCCGCGCCGACATTGCCGACACTTTCTCGGATCCCCCAAACGGGCTTGCAGTATGGGAGACTATCGTAGCTGAAAGGAAGCAGAGTCTTGATGGAGGTCAAGGAATTAACTTGGGCAAACATGAGATCGTTACCGGCGTACGTGTGCATGTAGCTTCTTGCCAAAGAAAACCAAATTGAAGAAAGGGCAAAGAAAACCCAATTCCTGATTGCAGAGCTTGTCATCTTGATGTCTGCAAGAGAATCAGTTGAATGGTAGTGAGTAGAGAGCTAAATCAAGCAAGCAAGCTCAAGATCAAATGATAATTAATCCCAAACATCCTACATGAAAGTCATGAACTACCACTATATATATATATATGCATGTACACTGGAAACAATTCGCACATCATCGACGAAAAAATTCAAATCTTTCATGGCGTCGCAGCACGGAAAACATCCTTCATCGGCACGAGGCTAGAGAGAAACAGATCCTCTGATCTATCGCTAATGAAAGATTATAAAGCATCAGAACACAATCCCATCATGAGAATAATAGAGCGTACTGTTGGGATTTTGGCACAAAATACCATAGAATTGAATGAGAAGTGTGTGGTTGAAAGTGTCTCACATAGGGTGAAGAGAGATAGGAGATGGGTTCAAATAGTTGAGCCTCACAAATGGGTTTGGGCCCCAAGGGGTACCCCACTTTTGTGGAAGAGAGAGGACCTACGTCTAGATCGGTCCGGCCGGCTCGGTTCGGTTCGGTTCCGGGTCCACTCTCTATCGGTTTTTTATTTTTTATTTTTCGAACAGACACGTTGTTTAGAAATTATTTATTTATTTATTTATTTTTGGACAAACAAACATGTCTGTTCGTGAGGTTCGGTTCGCCCGAACGAAAACCGAAGCCCTTCGCGCCTGTTCACGAACCAAACCGGTTTAAGGCTCGGCTCGTGACTGTTCACATGACCGAACGAAATTGTTCGGTTGGTGACTCTTCGGTTTCATCCTTCTATATCCGAAATTCCTTGGTGACTATTCATTCACACATGACCGAACGAAGTACTCTTGGCATTTCATTTTTTCGCGGCTTTCTGCTGCACTCTCATTCTTCATCGCTGTCATCTTTTGTGCGATTATTCTGCAAAGTTGCGTTCGAAGATTTCCTTTGAAGAAGTACCGCTTCATAGGAAAGGCGATCCGTTCTATCCTGGGAGGCAATTGTTCAACGACCTTTGGGTACCGGTAGAGGGGACAAATTGTCTTAAGGACACAACGTGAATTCGTTGGGCTCGGATCAAACGTCAAATTCGGATCACTCATTTCAGGTTTGTCAAACAACTTTACTTTATATGTACATACAAACACGCGTATATTGAACAACACGTACCTCACAAGTGATGATTAGTGCTAGCCTTGGTGATGGGAAGCAACTGGAATTGCTTCCGGGAGGGAAGCGCTCTCGTTATCTATGCTATGATTAATGTAATTAACAGAGTCATTATCAATCTTTCTGCTTTGTTGCTTCGCATGAAGACGAAAAGCTGAAAATTCTTCTCATTAGTTAAAATCAATGCAGTCACTTTCCGGGAAGAAACTTGGCTTTATACATGGACAAGTGTATATCGACCTTGATGACACCATTTTCTCTCATAGTGAATATCGACATTAGGGGCAAACGTAGTTCACAAGGAAATGGCATTGATTTTTTGGACTTTGTGGTTGGACAAATGGTACTAGAATGAGATGAAAGATAGGAATGTAGAATTTTAGGTACATTTTTTTATGTGGCAATCTCTTAAATCCGAAATTTGGGGGAATTCCGTTAACAAATGCCCCGACAACACTAATTAGGATAATTAATAATGGTAATAATGCATAACGACACATGTCAAAAGGATGGCCGGAGGAAAACATGGCCCTTGAAAAATTGAGCAAGGGCACTTTCTAAGGAAGTCACCTATACTTCAAATGAAAATATCTAGGGAAAATTTTAAAAATGGCCTAAACATATTGTACTTGTACCAATTCAGTTATAAACATTTAAATTGTGCCAATTTGGTTAAAACCTTATCATGTTTTGCCAATTGAGTTCACTTGACCAATTTTAGCCATAAATCGCCAAAGTAAATGCTGGCAGTCGTATATGACACGGCTGGCGCAAATGTAGACATTTTTTTAATATATTTTTTGGTTTTTTCTTTTCTTTTTTTTTCCTTTCTCTATGTTTTTTTATTAAAGGCCGGGACGCCCTTGCCGGCACTAGGCGAGGGCGTCGCGGCCTTGGCTGGCCCTTGCCTAGTGCTAGTAGGGTGGCCGGCCCTCGCTTGTGGCGGGTGATCCTTGTTGGCCATTGATAAAAAAAATCAGAATGGAAAAGAAAAAAGACAAGAACAACCAAATTGTTATTAAAAATTATAAAAAAAAAAAGTCCACTTCAGGACCGGTCATGCCACATAAAATTGTTGGCATCCACGTCAATGATTTCTGACCAAAATTGACCGAATGGACTCAATTGGCAAACGCGAATATGTTTAAGACTAAATTGGCACAATTGAAAAATTTATGATTAAATTGGTACAAATGTAATATGTTTAGGACTTTTTTCGGTAATTTTTTCTAAATATCTATGTTTCAGAAGCCCTACCGATGACCCATAGAAAGTTGTCAATAGTGCCCTTTTTAAAATTTTTCTAAACTAATAGCCGTAAGAATTAATTTTCTAAGTGAGAAATGACATGAATAAAATATGTATTTCCTCGAAGGAGGAAGGAATATTTTGCAATATTTTACTAGGGGCGTGCATTCGGTCCGGTTCTACCCAGAACCGGACCGAACCGGTCCTTGGAACATCATATTGCCACCGTGGTTTAATTAGTTTAACGTGAAGCAATCTGCAAGATAACGGCGGTGGCAAGTGGAGTTGCTATGATGTTGAACTCTTGTTGCCTTTCCACCTACATTTTTCTCGTGCTAATTGAATGCTAGTTTATTTTGATTACTCTGTTTCTCTTTCTTGCTATCTTGCGGTGTAGGACCTTTAAAAAGCTTTGATGAACACGTCGTCGACTACGAAAGTGGAGATCTGCATGATCCTGGTGATCTGAAACCAGCCCTTTCAAGAAGTGTTTGAATAAGATACTTCAGGTAAGGCTCTCCTTCGATCCTAATGAGCATCTTTGTATGCGGGGCACAATTGGTTGAGAACCCTGAATGGCCCTTTGGTCTCATCACATCAGGAGCCAAGTATGGAAGACGGCATGAGCATTTCCGCGCACAAATGTTAGGAGTGTACACTCTTGTTTTGCAATTACAGCGACAGAAGCCCTCGCAAGCTTCTCTAGGGGTACACGTGTCTATCTATAACTCCTCGGCGAATTCGTAATTCATTTTACCTTATGGAGCCTGTACGTGATCATTTCAACAAAGATGCTAATGCGAAGGATCTGCCAAAGAGAGTTCAAGGTATGCATTTCTCCTCTGTCCGTCCATTCAAATCACAGCAACAATTTGGTTCCAGTTTCTAAAGCTCCTCATGAATCCACGATCGAGATGCACCCAGTAATCTTTTCAAATCTCTGAACAGAGTAGAACGAAGCGAGGGAAACAATGCTTCCGGTCAATAGCAGGGCCACTATTGCCATGGTGAGCGAGTAACCACAAGAAAATGCGTTGGATGGAGCCCTGCTGTAACTCTGTAGGTCAGAATCTAAAAAATGGATCCAGTACATAGACGTAGATGGAAGCCGAACAGGAATCACAGAAAGACTTCCACCACCGTTTCCAGTCGTCTGTTTGGAGGTTTCAATACGTAAGGATCAAGGAAGTTTTATGGAGGGTTGGAAGAGACGATGCCAAATCTACAACTTACACTTCAGAAATTTGAATATCGTCCAAAAAGGACCATCAGTCATTTTGTATCGTAAGTGGCCCTGATGACATAATTTTCTTGTAAAGTTCTGAAGATTGTGCACGAATCATCAATGACCATTCAGCCTTTTCACGGTTATAGAGCGTGAAAAGCACCACAAGGATGAAGCCACTCATTCGGCTGGACAAGATGACCTCCTTTTCTATTCCTTCATTGTTATTCGCCAATATAACCCCCTTTGGCTTCAGTAATTTGATCACGAAAATTACCTTCAGCATAGCTAATTGATTCCTCTTCGGTTGATTTAATTACTCAGGGTATGTAGGCGGCCCGACTCTCTGTCCTGCTCAACTATTATGCTATGACAGCTGGAAGATTGAAGAGAAGTGGATCAGTTTGGTTCCTCTTCAGTGATTGATTGACGTTCATGTTGCAATATATATTTAATGTTGGGGTGTGGTTCGTGTTCATTTGCATGCTGAAACTGACTAGCTGCAAAAATTTCTTCATGAGCGCAACTCATCAAAGCGAAACTAAGATTGATTCAATCAGGACTACAAGAAGATGTAGAACAGATAGAAGATGCATAATCGAGGTAGACGACACCTGAAGCAAATTTGCGAACGGCAATAATGAAGGGAAATTGCTCATCTGGTAGCAATAAGTACCTTACATAAAACGGCAATACAACTCTCAACGATGTAGAGCAGATAGAATTGCCACCTCCTTCCCTCCTATTTATCTTTGTGATGATTACCCTAATACCGTCATTTCATCTTTTCTTGTGTTGCTTTGCATGAAGAAGTCAAAATGACCATAGTTCTAAATTGAACTCATTCAATCTCTTTCTCAAAGACTTGGTTTTACATCTGGACAAACAGTTGTTGCTCACAACCAGAAACGACATGCCGAGTCAACGTTTATGACACCGGTTTTCTCATAGTTGATATCACACTGATTGATGGACGAGAAGCAAAATTTATCTAGCTCATTGGAAGCTCCCTTTGCTCTCGTATCTATTGAATGGCAGAGTTGAAAAAGAACGAATATGAAACGAAATGGGGGGCATTAGGCGCAAGTTATCAATCTGCTTGGCATAAGGGACTTAGGCTAGGGAAAAGAGATTAGCTGATTGGGATAAAAGGCAAGGGCGCGGATATCTCTTGGTTTCTTAACAGCCCCTAGAGATTTTACGACATGTTAGTCTTCTTGATTTGAACTATCTTTTGATCACGACCTGTAAGATCTTGGGATCATTCATGGTGTGACTCGAACTATGAAGAATGCCGGATATATAACTTTGACTTTTAGAGGTTATCTGATGCATGCCATTCCTGCAAAACTACTAATCTGCACCTTCAATTCGAAGAAGACTGTTGACAATTAAGCTTTGTATTTGATCGTCAGATGATAAAGCAATGACAGTGGAAATGTGTGCATTAGATGGGAATATATTACTTTGAGCTATAGCTACTTACAGATATTCTCGTGCTTCTTTCGACAGAAAAACATAATAAAGGCAAGGCAATAGATGAAAAAGTAAAACATTCCTGTACTCGATCCAGGCGAGTTCAGTTTTCCGAACAAAAGGAGCTCAAGCAGGGGATGAATTTCAGAAAAAGTGACTTTACTCAGATCTCTGTTGATGAGAAGAGAGCATTCACAAAGTAGAATGAAGTGAGGAAACCGATGCTACCGGTTGATAGCAGGGTGCCTATTGCCACGATGAGCGAGTAACCAACATAAACTGTCACAGATGGGGGCCCGCTCAAACCGTTGAGGTCAAAAACCAAGTAATTGACGCAGTACATGAACACATAGATGGAAGCTGAACCGGAAGCACAGAAAGACTTCCACCACCATTTCCAGTCCTCAGCTTGTAGATTGCGATAAGTGACAGTCAAGGAAGTTTCGGCACAGACAATAACAAGGGACAGAAGACAGAGGCAGAGGGTCCCCGACATGCTGTAGAACGTACCGAGGCATATGCTACTCAGAAGGAAGAAGAGTTCGATAAAGAGCAAGCAGAACGGGATCATCCCAACACTGAGAACTAAGAGCCATGAAGGGAGTGTCCGAGCAGGGATTTCCCTAGGAATGTGATTGGTTTTCACAGGATATGGGATAGCCTCAGCCCAGGTCGCTAGGAATCCTCCCAAGAGGGTGACTGGCACTGAAATGCAGAACCAGAGCAATAGAACGGTGGTGTACATGGAGATGGAAATAGCGGCGGTGCTACGGTTGACCCACATTACGAGGTTGAGCGCTGTGTGTATGCTTAGGACGATTCCTGGAAAGAGAAATGTGATCGACCATGAAACCGACTTCCAACCATCTGTACTTCCTTTCAGAGTTCTCCACATACGCACCCCAACGTACCCACCAATGATTCCTGAAAAATAGTAGCTAGTTATCATCAATGTCAGTATCGTTCCTCGAGCACCGGGCAGTATGAAGCCGAAAGCTGTGATGGTTGCAGTCACGAAACCGGTCAGTGTGATTTGGACCCCAGTTCCGACCATCACACTGAGAAGCTTAGAGTGATTCGGCTCTCTGAATGCATCGCCGGCAAGAAGCTTCCAACCCGAAAGCTCCTCATTGGTCTGTGCTTCGGCCTGCTTATCGAGTCCCTGGCACTTTGCGAGTTCCCTAGATTTTGTCTTCAGGAATATTGCAAAGACGATGCCAGTTAAGAGAAGGATGGTAATTAGAGAATTCAGTACCGACAACCAATGGACTCGGGAATCTCCCTGCTCCGAATAAGTGTCCCCACGAGATTGCCACTGGATATCGCTCTTCAAGAACTGAACCTCGTAAGTGAAGGATATCCTCTCGTTCTCCCTCACAACCTGCAATGTCTCGAGCTCAAGGGGACATTCCATGGAATCTATGGTGTCGTACATTTTGAGCTTTTTCACGTTTTCCTGGTCGTGTTTTAACACTACAAGGAACCACCCTGAAGCCTGCAATCTCGAACAGCGGTGTCGGTTCATAACCCTTAAAGACCGTGCCATTTGATGGAGCATCAAAATCCATCATGTCATAACCGCGGCTTCTGTGCTCGTTCACCAAGACTCTGATCTTGAGATGATTAATAATGTAAACATCATCGCTGTTCCGCGCTGCATACCCTATAGGGAAGCCGGTCTGTTGAATGTTAAACCCACTATAGACATAACTCATTAATGGCAAACCGTCGAGCATCATGTTCACTTGGTACATATTGCGAATCCGCTGCTTCAAGATCCTTGCCTCGTGCTCGCTCAGGGGATGAGTGGTGCAGGGGTAGACGGACTCATTGACGTACCCTTGGAACTGGTACGGCGAGTCGATGATTTGGTCTCCCATGAGAGCGGCGCCGACATTGCCGACGCGTTCTCGGATCCCACCCGTGGGCACGCAGTATGGGAGACTGTAGTAGCTCAAGGGAAGCAAAGTCTCGATGGAGGTCAAGGAATTTACTTGGGCAAACACGAGATCATTACCGGCGTATGTGTGCATGTAGCATCTTGACAAAGAAAACCAAATTGAAGAGAGTACAAAGAAAACCAAATTCTTGATTGCAGAGCTTGTCATCTTGATATCTGCAAGAGAATCAATTGAATGGCTGTGGGTAGAGAACCAAATTAGGCAAATAACTCCGAGTTCAAATGATAATTAATCTCCATAGATAATCTCCAATTGTATGCACATATACACACACATACACACACTTCATACGTTAATCATCGATGAAAAATTTCAGATCTCTCGTGGTTTTTGATATCGCAGCACGGGAAAAAACACCCTTCATCGGCACGAGGCTAAAGAGAAGCAGATCTTTTGATCTATTACTAGTGAAACACTATGAAGCATCAGAACCTAATCCATCATGGAAACATTAACAAAGATCATATGATACAGAACTTACCTCACAAGTGATGAATAAAGCTGAGCCTTGGTGATGGGAATGGAAGCAAACTGAAATTGCTTACGGGAGCGAAGCGCTCTCGTTGATTATGCGATTATTAGTGTAATTAACAAGCCATTTTCATCCTTCTGCTTCGTTATTTCCCATGAAGAGGAAAAGTTGCATACTTCTTTAATGTTATTTCAAATCAATTCGGTCACTTTCTGGGAAGAAACGACCATCCAAGTCAACGTTGACGACACCATCTTCTCTCATGGTGAATATGGACATTACGGGCGAACGTAGTTCACAAGGAAATGTCGTTGATATTTGAACTTAGGGCTCCGGTCGTTTTCCTTTCACAAGCGGAAAACAACTTTTAGCAAAACGTTTTCCAGATTTTTCAAAAATAAATTAGTCATGGAAAATATTTAAATGAGGGAAATTTTTTCCGCTTTCGTAACTTCTTTCATCTCATTTTCTTTCAAATAACACATTTCCTTTTTATTTTATTTTATTTTATTATTTTTTTAAATATCGATTTTTTTTATTATTTTTATTATTCTTTTATTTTTCCTTTTCTTTCTTTTGTTTTTGCTTCTTCCTCGGCCGGAAAGGAAAAAAAAAAAATAAAAATAATTTAAAAATTAATTTAAAATTCAAATTTTTTGGTAATTTTCCCTAGAAAATCAAATCAGATACCGAACGGCGGCGGAAAATATTTTCCAGTTCATTTTCAAGTTTTAGCCGAACACCGGAAAATATTGTTATTTTCCTGGAAAATGACCTTCTGGAAAATATTTTTCGGAAACGTCAATTTTTCTGCTAAACGAATGAAATCTTAGTGGTGGGACGAAGTGTAAAAGAATGAGATTATATAAGATAGAATTAGATGACATTTGCCTCAAATGTCAAGGCATATTGATTAGCTCGATCAGGTTCACGTATCAGGCTGTGTACATAGAGTTTTAGATACGTTTGTCGTTCATCCCTAGAACAATCTCCAGGGAAATCGGGTTAACAAATGCGCCCCAAAACACTAGTTAAGACCGCTAAAAATGGAAATAACGCATAGCGACGCACTTTGGAAATGGTTATATCTTCCCCCGACCACTCTTTTGATTGTTGAGTTACAAGTTGTGGACATCACCCACATGCGCAATTTATTAAATACAAATGTGGGTGATGCCCATGGAGGAAAACATCGATGCTTTGGAAAATCGAGCAAGAACACACATTTCATAGAAGTCACCTACTTCAGATGGAGATAAGTATGTTTCCAAAGCGCAACCGATGACGTCCTTAGGGCACTCTTTAGCATTTTTCTAGAATTAATAGTGATAAGATGAATTCTCACCGAAAAATGATATGAATTAATTTGTATTTTCTCGAAGGGATATTTCACAATAGATATACTACTTCGACAAAAAATATATACATGTATTTCTTTTGCTGATAAAAATGCTTTATATTTGTAAAGTTGGATTTCTTCTTTTATACTGATAAAAATGCTGATAAAGCTGGACAAGAATGACCTCTTTTTCCAGTCCTTAATTATCATTCACCAGGATAACACACTTTGGCTTCAATGAATTTGATCACGAACCTTCAGCGTAGCTAATTCATTCCTCTTCTTATCAGGGTCGATTTACCCGGGTTATGTAGGCGGCCCGACTCTTTGTCCTGCTCAACTATTGTGGTATGACGAGTCGAAAGCAAAAACGGGAAGATTGAAGAGAAATGGACCAGTTTGATTGTTCTTTGGCAGAAAGTAACTGGTGTTTATAATAGAGAATGGTTTCATAGAGCTTATGTTTTTTGCATTCTGAAATTGACTAGCTGCAGAAATTTCTTCACGAGTACAAGTCATCAAAGCGAAGAGCTAAGATCGCCTAGATTAGGACTTCTATTGAGGCAAGATTACAAGGCACAAGAAAAGAAGATGCATAATGGAAGTAGATGACACCATAAATAAATTGGCGAACAACGATATTGAAGAGGAAATTGCTCATGCAGTCCTTACATACAATGGCAATACTCTCGCGATGCAGAGCAAATAGAACAGCCACCTCTTTCCCTCCTATTTATCTTTGTGATGATTAATGTAACACCGTCATTTTATCTTCTCTTTGTTGCTTGACGTGAAGGAGGCGAAAAGACGAAAGATCTACATCAAACTCATTCGATCGCTTTCTGGGAAGACTTGGTTTTATGTCTGGACAAACAGAAGTTGCCCGCAACCAGAAACAAAATGCCAGGTCAACGTTCATGACACCAATTTTCTCCTAGTTCATATCGACACTGACTGATGCGCAAGATGCAAAATTTATGTAGTTCATAGGAAGCTTTCATTGCTGTTGTTTCTATTGAATGGCAGAGCTGAAAAAGAATGAATATGATCCTTACCAAAAAAAAAAAAAGAATGAATATGAAACGAAACGGGGGACATTAGGCGCGGATTCTCAATCTGCTCGGCATAACGGACTTAGGCTAGGGAAAAGAGATTAGCTTAGCGTAATAAATGGCAAGGGCCTGGATATCTCTTGGTTTCTTAACAGCCCCTAGAGATTTTACGACCTGTTAGTCTTCTTGACTTGAACAATATTTTGATCACGACCTGTTAGGGATCAATCACGGTGTGACTCGAATTATGAAGAATGGTGGCTCCGTGGGGAGCTACAGAGCATGGATCCTACAACTGAATGAAGTTTCGCTGTCAGTTGTTGTCCACCTGAAGGTTAAGAAGATTGGTGGAGAGAAGTCTCTCAAGGCCATGCAAGGGGTCCTATGGTTGAGAAGGGCATTCCAGGGCTGTTCCTGTAGTTTCTAGAGAATGGCCTTCTTGTTAAAAATGATGCCGAGCCTATTTATGAATGGGTGCTTCATGGATTTAACAAATACTCAGTTGCTGAACTACTGCATTATAAGATTTGTTCAGAGACTTGGTTGAGCATTATGTGCTCATTGGTCTAATCATTAATGGGTTATTAGTATGAAGGTACGTGCGGTCCTGAGTTGCTCACGCATGCTATCTACCTGCTAAATAGCTGACAGAGCCCATCACCGTCCCCCTCTCCTTTCAGTGTTACCCTCCAACTTATCTCATAGCTTGTTTGGATCTTAACTTTGACTTCTAGAGGTTATCTGATGCGTGCCATTCATGCAAAACTACTCATTGGCACCTTCGAAGAAGACTGTTAACAATAAAGCTCCATACTTGATTGTCAGATGACACAGAAATGATGGCGGAAATGTGTGCAGTAGATGGGAATACATTACTTGGAAACACTAATAGCTACGTACGACTGTTCTTGTGCTTCTTTCATCTGCGAAACATGACAAAGGCAAGGCAATAGATAATAGATGGAAGACTATTGAGGTGACTTCAGTTTCCAACTGCAAGGAGCTCAATCAGAGGATGAAAATTCAGAATAAGGTGACTCTTCTCAGATCTCTGTTGATGAGAAGAGAGCATTCACAAAGTAGAAGGAAGCAAGGAAACCGATGCTACCAGTCGATAGCAGGGTGCCAATTGCCACGATGAGCGAGTAACCAACATAAACTGTGACAGATGGGGACCCGCTCAAACTGTTCAGGTTAAAAACCAAGTAACTGATGCAGTACATGAACACATAGATGGAAGCCGAACCGGAAGCACAGAAAGACTTCCACCACCATTTCCAGTCCTCGGCTCGTAGATTGCGATAAGTAATTATCAAGGAAGTTTCAGCACAGACAATAACAAGGGACAGAAGACAGAGGCAGAGGGTCCCCGACATGCTGTAGAACCTACCGAGCCATATGCTACTCAGAAAGAAGAAGAGTTCGATAAAGAACGTGCCAAACGGGATTGTCCCCGCACCAAGAACCAAGAGCCACGAGGGGAGTGTCCGAGCAGGGATTTCCCTAGGAATGCGATTGGTTTTCACAGGATAGTGGATAGCCTCGGCCCAGGTCGCTAGGAATCCTCCCAAGAGGGTGACTGGCGCTGAAATGCAGAACCAGAGGAACAAAGCAGTGACATACATGGAGATGGAAACGGCGGCTGTGCTACGGTTGACCCACATTATGAGGTTGAGCGCTGCATGAATGATTAGGACGATTCCTGGAAAGAGAAACACGATCAACCATGAAACTGACTTCCAACCATCGGTACTTCCTTTCAGTGTTGTCCACAGACGTATGCCAACATACCCGCCAACCATTCCCGAAAAAGTGTTGACCCTTGTTATCAATGTCAGTACCATTCCTCGAGCATCGGGAGGTATGAAGCCAGAGGCAGCGATGGTTGCAGTCACGAATATGGTCAGTGTGATTTGGACCCCAGTTCCAACCATCACACTGAGAAGCTTAGAGTGATTTGGCTCTCTGAATGCATCGCCAGCGAGAAGCTTCCAACCCAAAGGCTCCTCATTGGTCTGTGCTTCGGCCTGCTTATTGAGTCCCCGGCGTTTTGCGAGTTCCCTAGATATTGTCTTCAGGAATATAACGAACACAATACCAGTTAAGAGAAGGATCGTCATCAGAGAATTGAGTACCAAGAACCAATGGAATGCAGAATCTTCCTCCTTCGAATAAGTGTCCCAACGAGATTGCCACCTGATATCGCTCTTCACAAACTGAACCTCATAAGTGAAGGATATCCTCTCGTTCTCCCTCACAACCTGCCATGTCTCGATATTGTGGGGACATTCCATTGAATCTATGTTGTCGTACATTTTGAGCCTTCTCATGTTTTCCAGGTCGTGCTTTACACTGCAAGGATCCACCCTGAAGCCCACAATCTCAAACGGCGGTGCTGCTTTATAACCCTCAGAGACCATGCCAGTAGATGGCGCATCAAAATCCATTATGTCATCACCCTGGTAACCGTGGTCTCTGTGCTCGTTCACCAAGACTGTGAACTTGAGATGATTAATGATGTAAACGTCATCACTATTCGGCGCTTCATACCCGATTGGGAAGCCGGTCCATTTCATGTTAATCCCATCATAGCTAGCATACCTTGTTACCGGCAAACCATCAAGCATCATGTTCACTTGGTACAAATCGTGAATCCGCTGCTTCAAGAGCCTTGCCTCGTGCTCGCTCAGGGGATCAGTGGTGCAGAGGTAGATGGACTCGTTGACATTCCCTCGGAACCTGTACGGCGAGTTAAGGATTTGGTCTCCCATGAGAGCAGCGCCAACATTGCCGACACTTTTTCGGATTCCCCAAAGGGGCTTGCAGTATGGGAGACTATAGTAGCTCAAGGGAAGCAAAGTCTCGATGGAGGTCAAGGAGTTAACTTTCGCAAACATGAGATCATTTTCGGTGTACGTGTGCATGTAGCTTCCTGCCAAAGAAAACCAAATAGAAGAGAGTGCAAAGAAAACCCAAATCCTGATTGCAGCGCTTGTCATCTCGATGTCTGCAAGAGAATCGGTTGAATGGTTGTGAGTAGAGAGCTAAATCAGGCAACTAAGCTCAAGTTCATATGATGATTAACCTCAAATATCCAACATGAAACTCACGAACTACCACTATGCAAGTACACACACACTCGAGATGATACTCAAATCATCAATCAAAAACTTCAGATCTTTCGTGGCATCGCAGCATGAAAAACATCCTTGGTCGACATGAGGCTAAAGAGAAGCAGACCTTTTGTTCTATTACTGACGAAAGATTATAAAGCATCAGAATCCGTTCCATCATGATAAACAATTTGGTTGATTTCTTTTCAAACATAGCAAGAAAACATGAGTAAATGAAGATCAAATGACATAGAACGTACCTCAAATGATGAAGGCGAAGCGCTCTCGTTCTCGTTTCTCGTTGTCTGTGCGATAATTGATGTAGTCAAGAGATTCATTTCCAGAAGAGGAACAATTGAGAAGTTGTTTATATTTAATGATACAGTCGCTTTCTGGGGAGCAACTTGGTTTTATGTATGGACAAACGGAAATTGACCGCAACTCGAAAGGACACTCCAAGTCATCGGTGACCACAAATGTCATTGATTGTTGCCCTTCGTGCACGGAGGAATTGTACAAGAGTGAGATGAACTATAGAAATGTAGGATTTTAGATACATCTTCTTCTTCTTTTTTCGGGGGGCAATCTCTTAAAGGCAAAATTGGGGGAACTGGTTGTCCTTTCCTCTTATCACCTTCTTGATTCGTGGGTTACGGCTACGGCATCACCCATGCACAAAATCGACTAAATGTAAGAGTGCGTAACACTACGTAAAACATGGCCCAAGTGAGTTCCAGCTTAAGAGAAATAAAATTTACAAACGTGCCTAAAGTACGTAAAGCCGCATGCGTATGATTTGCCTCAAACCTTGGTAAGGTGAAGGTTCAAAAGTCACTGTTTATAAAGTTGCGCCGCATGTGTTTTATCACTCAACAATCATAGAAGTGAAGTGTTACGTGGTAAAACACGAGCATTCATGACAAATTAATAAACAAGTACTAATTGTTCGAATGTGAGAATGTAACAAAATTACGTTGTGTATTTTGTCACGTGGCAATCATAAAAATAGAGTCATTTGTCACGTAACGAGCACAAAAAAAAATATTTTCTCGACTCCAGCTTTAACCAGCATATAATAGATAGAAAATAGATGTGAAGAAAAGAATTCCTCTCGTGTTGTTTGGAAACGGTGAAAGAGAAAAAGGTGATATATGTTGAATTACCCAGTTTGGGAAGAAAAAAAACTAATAGGCAAGAGTAAAATTAATGGAAAAATATATGTTGACATCTAAATTTTGACGACCCATTTAGTCTTAAATTGCATTGAAAAATAAGGGATCGATTCCGGCCCCTAAAAAAAATATTCATTAAAACTGCATATAGATATTAGGAGCATTTATATTAATAGTTAAGCCCATATAGTTTGCATATTAATTGGACTAGCGGCAAATGGATTCAATTTTGATAAATTGAACATTATGAGCTTAATAATTAGAACGGTGCAGGTGAAGTTTTGAAATCAATTAGTTTGTTTTGGCCCGTGAAATAGAATGAATCGAATCAAGCCCATGACCAAAATTGACGTGTTCTGCAAGCAAATATCTTCGGCCACAAAGCAATATCTTGTACCGTATGTTTTCGGCCGAAAAGAAGACCAGGAGGGAAGGAAATTGGATATATTTGGTTGTGTTCTGTTGGACGTTTCCCATAATTCAAAGCAATATTATATTCGTCTACGTTAAAGGGTTAATAACACGAAAAATCTCAAATTGGTACACACCCAAAATTAATTTTTTTATCACAAAAAATCCCAAACCGGTACACATGTAATAAATTTACCCTGAACTAATTTTTTGACCACTCAAAACCTCAAATTGGTATATTTGTGATAAATTTACCATCCATTAAATTGAATTAATAAAAAAAACCACAAATTAGTACACTTGAGCTAAAATCTCAAACTGGTACATTCGTCAATTACCATGTGTCATTTAACTAAGTAATTTGATAGTAAAATTTAACGGAAACTAACGGAGGATAAAATTGTTACAGGTGTACAAGTTTGGAGGTTTTGGTGGTAAAAAAATAAGGATCTGCTGAGGAGAGTTAAGATATGCATTTCTCCTCTGTCCGTCCATTCAAATCACAGCAACAATTTGGTTCCAGTTCCTAAAGTTCCTCATGTAGCGATTGAGATGCACCCAGTAATCTTTTCCAAAAGCGGGATGTGACTTTGTGCTTTGTCAATGTAGGGATTCAGGTTCACACGGTAATGTGGTGCATGGTCACTAAAGGACGTGACAACCGGTTGATTACTGTCGCGGTCGTTTTGACGAAAACCTAGTTTTACATTGTACATCAGAGAATTTCGTTTTTCCCCCTTCTGCTATGAGCACGCCAAGTATTTGTTTGCAAGCTACTGGTTACTTGCACTAATTTACATGAAAGTCTTCACTGAATCACCACAGAATTTTCCTGTAATTTGCAGTACCGGTTAAGAATCTGGTCCGTAGTTTACCAGGTTTTGATTTACAATTGTTTAACTTAGAGTTCACATTTCATCAGTAGAAGGAACTGGCTCTGCATTTTTGCTGTTTTCTTTTTGCAACGTTTTTCCGAAGGAGGCATTTGGGGAAGCATACTTAACAAGAAAAGTTTAAGGGCACTTGTTTCCCTCATAAATCACATGAAAAAGCTCGTCACTTTGAAAATTGGATAATTCATGTAATTTTGATGGCAAATTGGTTGACCCAAGATACAGCCGAAACAGAGGAGGAATAGGAGGTTGGCAGAGAATGTGTAGCGACACTAGTTTGTCAGCTATTACAACTAAAAGATGACTAAAATAAAATTATTGTTGCATTGACATTGAATCAAATTCACATATCATTCATGTCTCTTTGACGAAAAAACATTCCTTTCTCATTTTTCACATCCCCAAACTCGATCAGGGTTTATCAAATTCCGATGCTTTTGGCAATCTGGTTTCTGAAATATTATGTTCAGTCTATATATCGCAGCGAATTTCCAATTTCTTTAACCAATGGATTCTCTAAAATCCCTTGTTACACCGCGAAATGCTGAAGTGTCGCCGCCGGGCGATAATACCATGAAATTTGTTTTCTTCATGTGGCTTATTTTCTCTTCATGTTTCCCCTAAAAAAATCCATCTTTACTCTCTTTCCCTCTTTCTTTCTCTCTCTGTCTCTCTCTCTCTCTCAATAAGGCATGGAGAACTCTTGGAGAAGTATGAAAGCCCAACCTGCTTATTGGGCTCAAGGTCAAGCCTTTCGCCTCTGTTTTTGAATAAAGAATGAAAACGAGGGCACACCCTTCTTGATTCTCCCCCTGGGCGATAGACGTTCATGGTCTCTGCACTGTGTCTTCCTCTCGGCAAGCAAGGTACGCCCCCCTTTTCCTCTTCCCCTCCTCCCCCCCACTTCGCCCCCTCCAATGTCGCAGATCGGCTCGTTCTTGCTCCCTCGCGTTCCTCGAGCTCCTGCACGAGCTCGTTGAGGATGTGTGCCATCTGATTGTGGGGTCTTTCGCTTGGTTTGGGCTTGGTTTCGTTGTCGTCGCTGCGTTTGCAGATCAGGAGGAGAGCTAAGGGAAAAAACAAGTGTATGTCTAACATTTCTGATCTAGTGATGTTCTTGGGACCCGCCCTTTTCAGGGCATTGAGCTTGGTTGATGTGCTTCGTTTGCCGCATGATGCTGGTTTTTTGTGGGTCGACGATCTTTTCAAGAAGTAATGTTGACCTAGTTTGCAAATCAGAAGCTTGTTTACATATTAGAGCTGCGTAGACTTTTGAGTGAAACTGTTCTTGACGAAGACCAATTTAGAAACTTTATTTGAACAACATGATACAGGCCAACTCATACACAGTCATCATGTTTTCTAACGTATGATGATGCAAGAACATATTGATGTATTTGTTAAATTGGTGTTTTTTTGTTTTTCTTTTTGAAGCAAAGCTGTCTGAACTACTCCACTGGAAGTAGCTATGCTACCCACTGGAGTTCGAGATAATCAACTCCGTGAGAGCAACAGCCAGAAGGTTCATCCTCAACCCATGGACGAGTCCAAGAGTCCGAACCCAGAAGCCATAGAAGGCATCATTTCTAAAATATTCACCAATGTCTCCTCCTTGAAATCTGCTTACATACAGCTCCAAGCCGCTCATACTCCCTACGATCCGGATAAGATCCAAGCCGCCGATAAACTCGTGGTTTCGGAGCTGAAGAACCTGTCCGAACTCAAGCATTCTTATCGGGAGAACAACCCTAAACCGGTGTGCATCTCACCTCAGGACTCTCGCTTAGCTGCCGAGATCCAAGAACAGCAGAGCCTCCTGAAAACGTACGAGGTCATGGTCAAGAAGTTCCAGTCAGAAATTCATAATAAGGACTCGGAGATTAATCAATTGCAGCAGCAAATTGAAGAAGCCAATGTGAAGAAGGCAAAACTCGAAAAGAATCTCAAGCTTAGGGGCTTGTCAAGCAAAGAATCGGATGATTCGGGCTATGAGAATGGGTTTTTCCCAGTTGATCTAACCCCTGATCTGTTCATCTCAATTGTTGAAGCTGCTTACCAAGCCATTCATGACTTCTCAAAGCCCTTGATCAATATGATGAAAGCGGCTGGTTGGGACCTCGATGCTGCTGCTATCTCCATTGAACCTGACGTTGTTTATGCAAAGCGTGCTCACAAAAAGTATGCATTTGAGTCCCATATATGTCAAAGAATGTTTGGTGCTTTTCAACAGGAAAACTTTGGAATAGAGTCGGACACTATTGCAGTAAATAAAGAAAGCTTTTTCCATCAGTTCCTGGCCTTGAAGGAGATGGATCCATTGGACATGTTAGGCCAGAACCCAGACTCAATCTTTGGGAAATTTTGTCGGAGCAAGTACCTTTTGGTTGTTCACCCCAAGATGGAGGCTTCATTCTTTGGGAACTTGGATCAGCGGAATTTTGTAACTGGTGGTGGGCATCCTCGGACTCCATTCTATCAAGTATTTCTAAAACTGGCTAAGTCCATATGGCTTTTGCATAGGCTGGCTTATTCTTTTGATCCTAGCGTCAAAATTTTCCAGGTCAAGAGCGGGAGCGAGTTCTCTGAGGTTTATATGGAAAGTGTGGTGAAGAATTTGGTGATGGATGACGGTGACGAAAAACCTAGGGTTGGTCTGATGGTCATGCCTGGTTTTTTGATTGGTGGCAATGTAATCCAGAGTAAAGTTTACCTCTCTGGTGTGAAAGTTGTTGAGTAGTTGCCAATTGCATGGTTTGTCCATTTTTCTGGGATGTGTATATTGTCTGTCTCCGCTGTGTTGTTTATTAGAAGTTGTGGTTGCTGTTGTATCTGTGTTCTCTTTAACTGTCGAAAGTAGTTGCAAGATCAATGAAATCTCTCTTTCTATCTCTCTCTCTCTCTCTCTCAATGGATGATTGTTACCAGTTCTGCAGTTTTCACCCATTTTTAACTTCCCAATCCTCTGGGTCTGCTTCGGTCATTCTCATTAGTGTTGGTTACGTTACTGATTTGAAATGATCACATGATGTTTTCTGAGTGTGCAGCTGCAGAATCATCTGCATGCACGTGTGCGTCTATGCTTGTCTATCTACTTTTGGTTAGTCTGATAGCGAACTTGGAAATGTTCAATTGTTTACATTCTGCATGTCGCCATTTGATCTCGTTATGCTTGAAGGCATGGAGAGTTTGACTGTCCTTTAATACCTTCCCACTATATGGATGCAAAAACAATTAAACCTCCTTGTCTCACGGATTGCACAGCAGCAACATTTTCATTCCGGGGTCTCTTTGTTTGATGCTGGTAGGAGTTTTAGGTGGTTGTCAAAAGATGCAGTTGTCATGAAATTAGTTATATCGTTAGCGAAGATAAGGATGATGGTTGAATTTTCAGCCGATGCATTCTTTTAATCAGGATAGACTCTGGATGATACAAGTAGATACTTCTGTCAAGTTGTACCGCATGTCTTGCAAGTCGCAATTTTCGCTTTTGATGGTCTAACTTGTTCAGGAGCTCATACGGAAGGCACCAGAGGCTCCTCAATCAGCACTCTTGATCTGACAATTATCAATAGGTCTGTTGTTATTGACCAGACAGTTCGGCATCTCAAACTTGGGAATTCCATGAAATGGGGGCAACTACCTTTGCCCTTAGCTGGTCGGCCGTTCTTCTCGGAGACCTTTGAGATGCCCGGTCGTTCCATATTCAAGTTTTAGTACACGTGTCAATGTTTTCGAGGTTGCTTGCATGGGTGGGGAATGGATGACAAGCGAATGAGACTCTGGGATTCTTCTTTAATCCGACAATCGCTGTCATCAATAACAAACAAATCTTTTTGCTGGTCCTTCTATGGTGCTGCATCCTCAAGACATGGAATGTGGTTTTGTGGTCTGTCAAGTTACTAGGAACAAACGACGATTATTGTCAAACCTGTCTGCATCGAGATCTCGTCAGGTTATATAAATCAAACATGCTTCGGATATGCTTAAAAAGAATTGGTTATGCAGGACAAATAAATCAATCAACTTGATTAGTGGGAGTCCAAAGTGGGGAACCTGGAAATTTCTTAAAGGGGTCTTGGGGGAAACTTCCATTTGAAGGATGTATAATTGAAAGATCCTAGAAGGTAGGCAGTGAGAGGAGTACATGACTTCTAATGGAAGTAAGTGATTTCAAGCGATGCCCTTCTCTTTGGAGCTGTCGATATTGTTAAAGCTGAAAAGTTTCTGTGCTTTTTCCACGACAGGAATGCACTAATTCAATGGTAAGGCGGCTCGGAGTAATTGTCCTGATGACTGAGAACCTTGGACTATAGATATGGTTAATTGTGTCAAATACAATTACTAACGTACGAGGACAATTACTGAAGGTAAAGATCAAATCCATCACGAAAATAACACGGAAGACAAAAGATGCAGCAATTCTCCATGAATTGAACTAATTGTTACGCAATGATCCGAAGATCACAAGGCGAATGGTGAGATTAAACAGTGGAAAGGTCCGCCGCTTGAATGACAGAAGGTTCTGTCAAGCGAGCAGAGACTCCCCTGGTTCAAAACTCAAGTAAGTCCACTGCCATGCTTCAATTGCTTCTTGTTTCAGCACAAACATCATCTGAAGCCAATAGTCACCTCAAACGCTAAGGATTCATCTATCTCATTTCGGCAAACAATAAAACATCAGGGTGCAAGAAACCGTGACAATCTCTTGGTGCCAGAGCATGAGAAGATAATCGTCTCAGTCGTCGAACTGTCTTAAAAGGAGCAGGGTAGTATTAGTATATGAGCACTCTAGGTGTAGTTAGGAAAGAGTCTGCACATTCGGCGTCTATTCTCGTGTTCATAAACTTCATAATTACAGCCTGAAGATACTTTACAGTACTTGTTATCAACCTTCTGCAAAACAAACCACGCAATTATAAACGCGACGTCAAAAAAGGCTCTTAACTCGTTCAACCAAACAAAATTTGGGAATACACAAAAGTGCCTAACGAGCAAAAGTTACGGCTCCAAAGACTGCTTTGTGGAAGCTTAAGAGCTCCTCATTTCTCATGGGCGTTAACACTCGGCCAGTCCAGGAATTTGTACCCTTGAAGTGAGGGTGGCAGGTAGCTTTGCGCCGCCTGAGGATTATCAGGAGTATATATGTACCCTTTCCCATATCCGATTTCCTTCATCAGCTTAGTAGGCGCATTTCTGAGATGCAGCGGGACTCCCTCATTTTGCCCAACCGATTCTCTCACTACCTTCTGCGCAGCTCCTATCGCTCGATAAACGGAGATTGATTTCGGAGCCAAAGCCAAGTAGGCGGCGCACTGTGCAAGAATCACATTGCATTCTGGCATCCCTATGAAATGGCAAGCCTGGTAACAGGAAACGGCCTGATTAAGAGCCAACGGGTCGGCCAAACCAACATCCTCGCTTGCAAACCTGATCAATCGCCGCGCAATGTAAAGAGGCTGTTCGCCTCCTTCCAGCATTCTCGCCAACCAGTAAATGGCAGCATCCGCATCACTTCCCCTCATAGACTTGTGAAGTGCGCTAATTAGATTGTAATGCTCGTCTCCAGCTTTATCGTAAGCTAGGTGCTTACACTGAAGTGCCTCCTTCACATCATCCAGTGTAACGATTGCTGCAAGCGGACCAATCCCATTTTCCACATCTTCCAACAAATTGCCATCAGAGCTTTCCTTCACACCCTTCAATTTTGACCGCTGCGTGGACACCCGCATAGCAGCAGTTATGGCCGAAATCTCCAAGGCATTCAACGCCACCCGGGCATCGCCGTCACAATTAGCGGACAGAAACTCAACCGCATCCACCTTCGCCTCCACGTTCATATCGGCACTCCTCGCTAATCCCTTCTCCGAATCGCCTATCGCCCGCTTAAGGAGCGAGACTATGTGGTGGGGCTTCAGAGGGTTGAGAGTGAGGACCCTGCAGCGAGACAACAATGGCGTGATCAAATGGAAAGACGGGTTCTCCGTGGTGGCACCCATGAACACGATGCTCCCGTCTTCGATCACCGGCAAGAACGAGTCCTGCTGCGACTTGTTAAACCTATGCACCTCATCCATAAACAGCACAGTCCTCTTGTTACTCTTGGCTCTCGCCTTCCTCGCCTCCTCGACCGCGTCCCTCACTTCCTTAACCCCACAGGTCACGGCAGACAGAGAAATGAACCGATACACCGTGGCCCGCGAAGACGAATTCGTAATGGCCTTAGCTATGGAGGTCTTGCCCGTACCTGGAGGGCCCCAGAGAACGATGGAGGGCAGGCGATCGGCGGCGATCGCCGAGCGCAGGAGCGAGCTCCCGCCCAGCAAATGGTCCTGCCCGACCACTTCGTCGACGGTCCGCGGCCGCATCCGCTCCGCCAAGGGCTCGTGCGGCGACGGAACCTTCCCCTCCGCCGCTCCTCCGGGAACAACGGATTGCGGGTTCTGCGGCAGAAAGAGCCTGGGGCGCTTGGCATCGGGCGGAGTCGGGGTCGGCGAGCCGTCCCGCGGCCGCGCCTCGGTCCGAGGCGGAGGAGAAGGGGGCGAAGGATTGGAGGAGGGCCTGGAGTGGAAGTGGAAGAACCGGTCGAGCTTGGGCTGGAACGGCGGCGGGTTGGGATTGGGCCCAGCGTTAGGGTTAGGGCTGGCGGCGGCGGCGGCGGCTGCCGGTGGTGAGGTGGAGGAGGACGACCGCTGGGCGAGGATCCACTCGGTGGCCTGGAGGGTGGACTTGCCGCCGGTGGCAGCGAGCGCTTCGGCGGCCAATTCGTCGGAGAAGCCCATGCTCAGGAGCTGCTGCATCTCCATTTCCCTTCGCGGGTTTGTCTCAGCTTGAGCTCTACGCAAGAGGAGGAGGAGGAGGAGGAGGAGGAGAAGAAGAAGAAGAAGGGACTGTGTTGACGATGGCGATTGGCGACGCCATCGGAGACTTCTAAGTTAAGCAAGAAAGCAGAAGCCAAAAAGCACGAATGATAAACGCGGGAGCTATGCCGGTAAATTCACCTCTGCCGCTCCCGCTTTTTTAAAAAGTAGGATAAATACGTTAAAAGTCTTAAATCTGATTACGAAAGTATAGATGAGTCTTAAAATTTTCATAATATGTAATTAAATCTTAAAATTTATTATGAAAGTTAAATTAAGTTTTAAAATTTTTAAAAAATACAAACAAATCATAAAATTTGTTAAATTGATTCAATCAAGTCCTTTCATTGATTGCACTTTTTGAAAATTTTAGGACATGATTACATTTTCGTGATAAGTTTTAGGACTTGATATCATTTTTTGGAAGTTTTAGAACTCAATTGCACTTTCATGAAAAATTTTAGGACTTTTAATGCACTTATCCCTAAAAATTTCTACAAATTCTTCTTGCTTAAACTATTTTAGTTTTTCTTTTTGTTCCTCTCAAAAGATAAATATTGTCGAATAATTATATTTCTCGGGCGATGTGCATTCGACCGATATTATGCTTGAATTTCAAAAGTTTTGTCATTATACTTTTTAAGTGTAATTGTCACGTGATGTATTCAATACGTAAAACAATTTTCTCGTCTGTCTCGAACTCCTCAAATTCTTTGGTTCTCAGACCCACTCGGTCCCGAGTTCTTCACGTTATTCGAGTTATGCTCGCAACAGGAGAAACTATGCGCGGATGGGGATGGATTTAGGTCACAATTCATCGTGAAACGTACAAGGATGACTCTGTATTATACCGTTGACATTTGAAAATGATGTCGCCACAGAGTGTACTTTCAAACCACAAGAGTTTTTTTGCTGATTATATCATGTACCAAATTACGTATGAACCACGTTTCCTAATTACAGATTTCTTGCCGTAAACCAAGTGTGCGTTTGTTTCATTGAAAATAAGTGATTTGAAAAACATTTTCCGAAAAATGATTGCTTATATTGTTTTAAAAAATTAGTTAACGGAAAATATTTCATCATCGATAATAATCTATACCTAACTATTTTCGTGTGCGGTAAAAAAAAATTTCACTCATTTATTTTTCTAAACAATAAAAGCGATCATTTTTCGAGAAAATATTTTTCAAATCACTTATGTTCTACGAAACGAACTGTGACATTAGGAATTTTTCACGTTTTGTACTAATATTTAAAATGATTTTACATGATCGTTATCGCCCGAAGTCCGATATGATAGGAGGTTGACGCGTAAATTGATGGTGTAGTGTGACGGTAAATTATTAAATGCCGCCATATTAGTTGAAGAAAGGATTGATATGCTCGGAGTTTCATATTGGATGATTTTCAAGTTCTAAATTAACCGAGTTAAGATTTTCTCAGCATCCATTAGCTTTTCCTAGTGGGTTATTTTTCGGACTTGTTAGTATTTTGAACGGACACTGATTTCCTTGTTACAGATTAATTAGTAGATACTTTGGTAACATAGCAAAATATTATGAAAATCTTTTTATCGAATGAATTGACAATTTTTCCATTTGTGCTTATTTTTCCTATTTAACCCCCTCACACATTTTCCTCTTAAAGATATGAAGCTTGGTAGTGATGAGGTCATGCATTGACTCATGAAACTTGGCTTTAGTTTATTAATGATTGAAATGATTACTGCTCACACTTGGCCAAATGAAATGAAGCATTCTCTCTTCACATAAAGATATCTTCTCTTGGCTTATGATATCAAGCCATTTGCACCTTAGCTATTAGCATAGGGGCACATGAATCAATTTTATTGCAACACTCAACCCTTCATTTATTAAGGCAATGAATACCCTTATGACTCACTCATTCACTTAGCCAAGAAGAAGAAGAAGCCATCTTTCATTTGAATCAAAATATCTTTCTCTAGCTAATCTTATAAGGCCACTTGTATCCTAGCTATCTACTTAGGGCCACTTGAATCATTTCAATTGGAACACATACCCTTCTATTCTTAGGTGTAATGATTTTAACCCAAACTTATTGTCATGTTCCGGCCAAGACTATGACCCGTGGCATACTTGTGACTTCCTGTTAAATTTTTATCTTGAAGTTACGGACAAGCAAAAGCATATAATTGAGACAGTTACAACAACATTCAAACAACAGGATTAAAGCAGACAACAGGAGCACACCATATATTTACATGATACTTAGAAATTTTACATGTCAAGCCTATTTACATGCCCTTTCTTTTCTTACGGGCCAATAAATGCTTACATACCCGCTATAACAAAGGTTGGGTTATACCTAACCCCGCTACTGATTCCTCTTCAAAAAGTTCCTCCAAAAAGTGCTTTTCCCAAAAAACGCTTGGTCATTCCCAAGTCCAGTTGGTCAACTAGGCCCTGTCTGCGGCGGTCCCAGGTGCCGGGCCATGAGCACCACCGAACGGTCCATTAAACCCATGAAGGAGTCCGATCAATCTGCCATCCTCAATCCACTCATACCAGGCTTCGAACACATGCAGAACATTCTGTTCAAGGCCTTAATTAACCATAACTTGGGAAATGACCTTACGATATGCTCTCCCTTCGGCAGCGTCGATCACATCCACAATCATCTCCACAGGGGTTCCAAAACGGATCGGAGGACCCGTCATCCTATGGTTTTGAGGGAAAAACAACAGGGAGTGAGTAGTTGACTAAATAAGTAAATTCACTGATTTCAGATTATGAGGAATCAATTGTCATTAGACATGCATTCAACCTTACCACCCCGAGTATCGATGGCAGATCAATAGCAAAGATGTGCTCACCGTCCAACATCACTCATGATGTAATACAATTGCTAAGAAAACACAAAGCATGGTATTTCCATGAGGCACATGTCAATAAAGGCACGGAATTCATTCGGTTCATGCACCATGGCGTGCACACAAGGTGTGCGTTCCCTTTTTCTCTTCCGAGACGTGTCTATTGGCTCATGCTTTGCTTATATAGACAACCATACAAACAAAATCGCATTAAATAAGTCCAAGCATGGTTCAGGATTAAACACTAGCTAACAACGTATTGGGTCATCCTATCCCAAGATTAGGGAATCTACTTACTCTACTCGACAAAGCGAGATTTTGTGGGGACCAAATGGTGACGTAAGAATGAAGTGGTGATTGGCGTGATCAAGAGGGAACCGGTTGGTGGGGTAGGCGTGGATGGTGATGGTGTGAAAAAAAATGAGACTAAGAGGGAACCAAGCCTATTTATAGTATGGTCCACTCATAGTTCTAATGAACTAAGGCCGAAAATTCATAAATGAAGGACCTTAAAGTCTAAGCTTCATTATGATAAGGCCTTGAAAGTCTATGGCCATAATTAAGCTTACATCTCTCAACTTGGTTTCCAAGTTTCTACCTTAGGGTCATTAGACCCTACTAACTCATTTAAGGCCTAAACAAATCATGATGATGATGATGATGATGATGATGATGATGATGATGATATATATATATATATCTATCTCTTCCCTTTGGCCGTGTGCCTTCTTATTTGGCGTGAATGATAGTATTGGTCCTCAAGAGTCAATTATAGAAGTCTTCCATAAGATTCCTATCTCTATTATTGGGGTCTTCTTGGTCAAGTTTTATCATTGACAACTTTCTAAGGGAGTTGTCAATTGTTGGTTCTATATTTCAATTATGAGACAACTTCCAAAAGAAGTTGTTAATTTGTCCTATAGTCCATAACTTCTCCCTTGAGCGTGAATCACTTTCTAAAGACCACAATTATTAGCTTATGCAAGACAACTCCATTATTGGGGGTTGGTCTTCATTATTGACCAACTTGTTCAAGAAGTTAGCAATAATGCACAAATAGACAAGTCACAACACATTTCAGCTTCTGCCACCACATGTAAAGCCTCATTTCCCCCTTCGTGTGACCTCCAATGAAAGTTTAACATATCTCATTTGAAAGCTCAAAATGTGCACATTAAATCACCAGAAGATCTCAAGTCCAAATTCCCAAGGTTTCACATGAGAAATTGTGCATCTTTGAAATTGGGTAAATCTAGGCAGTTTTGCACAGTAATGGAAATTCCTTCAAAATGAATAGTAGATGAACTCCGAAAATTCTAAAATTTGGACATGTTATAAAATACACCTGGATAAACATTTCTCATGAGGAACCAAAATCCAAATCTTTCTGTAAGTGTCTCTTTTAATAACCCAAACACAGACTAAAAATTGCTCGTTGGAACAGAACCGTTGTTCCTCAAAATTGGTTCTTTACCATACTTAAGAAATCTCGAAAAATTCTTAAATTTTTATATGTTGTAGAGGAAGAAGTCCTCAGGAACTTTTGAGAAGGAAGTTTGCTCGAACTCGGCCCAGAAAAGTTGGTAGAAAATTGAGAAAGTGTAAACATCACAAAACTACCCATTCTTGGCAGTTTTCCAGGGTCCGAAAACTAGGCTTTCGAATTACTCATGTCAAATCCAAAAATTATAATATTAAAATATGTTAAACTTCAAGATATTTGGAACAACTTTGAAGAGGGACATTTTTGGAAATTCGATCCACAGTTTTCCACAAAAATAACAAAACGAAGAGGTACAGAGGAACTGAATCTGGGTTTTCCAAAACAAGAACAAGAATTGAGTCCAAATGGGAAAATAACCAAATTTGATTTAACAAAACTCATACCTAGTAACTTGAATGGACATACAACACCCATTTAGAACTCAATTCTAGCAAAATCAAGGGTATTAGAAGATTAGAAGGTTTATAAATGAGTCTCATCTCCTTGCTTAGTTCTAATGACACTTCCTTCTTCGGACACCAAATTTCACTAAATTTAGTTAGGCAAAGAACTAAGGTAATCAAGGTTTCAGGTGTCTTAAATGATCGACCATACTAACCGATCTATACCCGACCCTCAGATCGGTCCGTACACTAGTCACATTGCCATCTTCTTTTGGTCGTCTCGGTCCAAATTAGGGATGTTACACTTATCATTACTTTTAACCTTGATTATCTAGATTCATTTCCTTCGACCTATAAAAAGACCTCCATATGTCTTCAAGCTTACA